TCATTCGACCTGGATTGCTGCATTTACTATTGATTTGCGTACTCGCCTAACTTGCTTACCTCTAAAATATACTTTTCAGCAAAAAAAAAAAAAGAATAACTATACTACTCGCGTACTCTATATACCATGCCTTGACAATGAGTAACGACAACGTTGCCAGAACAGAGCCATACTGCAAAATTTACTTTTTTTTTTCTGATGAGCACATGCACTTTGTATTTTGTGTCTTTGGGCTCCGACGCACTTGAAGTGCAACGGAAGTTCTCCGACGGCTGCGATGAAGCTGGGGACGATTAAAGTGCCAACTTTTGGATATGTGGTGGCAAAAAGGAATCAGTCAAGGTAGAACAGCTACCTTAATTCCACAGATGAATCATGGATGTCGGCAGGCTACCTAGATTTACGTACTTTTCTGTGGACGTTACACTAAAAAATAACTGCAGATTTATTTACATAATCTCACGAAACTGAAATGAGAAATTTAGTTGAGGTTACACAAATGCTACCCTTGAATAACGAGCTACCAGCAATAAGTGTGTAGCTGAGGACGTTAGCAGTTGCAGCACCAACAACAACAACAACAACAATAATAATAATAATAATAATAATAATAATAATAATAATAATAATAATAATAATAATAATAATAATAATAATAATAATAATAATAATGGTAATAATAACTTATATTGCACATTATAATAAATAGAAAGAAGAGGTCAGCCCACAGTGCTTACTGTGCCTACTCAGTGAGATTGTGCACCAAAAATTTGATTATACACTCCTCCACATTACACAATGTTGTGCATGAAGACCAAGGCAAATCTGTAATCATGAGCCACTGTTAACCATCCATTTTCTTATTTCTCACCTGTGAATAGTCCTCCCACTCTTCACGGACACAATGATCTCCAACAAGAGCGCGTTTTCTCGTTCGGAAATGCTGCACAGCCAGGTTGACCGACATACAAACCACGGCACGGTGTCGTTCATTTCGAGATATGATCGCCTGCAAAGTGACACACTTCATTTGGTGCGAGGAACAAACTAGACACTAGTTGTGACCAGCCGTGAAAGACCCCTGTGATGGTGTGCATGATTATAAGGTTGAGAGATTTCAGTTTGCATAAAATTGCTAAATTATAGAATGGTAAAACACAATTCTCTTGAACTAGTCTGCTGTTATGAGAGTTTTAAGAACTAATAAAACCAAGGCTAATGTGGCCCACTTTAATAAATTAACAGAGTATTCACACCCAACTGGATCGTGCAAACAGCAGCATGTATAATGCATTGCAGTCATAACTAATGCCGTGGCCTAACACTGCTAGAAAAGTCACAAAACTATTTGCACGTCTTATTGGAGAACTTGGAACAGCAGTAAAGCTTCCGCAAATGCTTCTGTTCTAATCATGATTCAGCCAATTATATATTGGTAATTGGAAATGACAGCAGATCACTTGCTAGTGCTTGAAATATAGTGATTGTATTATCTTCAGTACTTACCATCTCTTCAAGGTACCTGCTACTGAACGGTTCTACAGATGGAAAAGTAATTTGGCATAAGTCACTTGGCACTGAGCGATGCATTGTGAACACTAGGACATCTGAGAATCTGCTCAGCTTCTTCCATATGGTCAAGTGATGCTCCTTAACAGGAACTCCAATGACAAGTCCCAAGGGCGTGGGCTTATTCTTTAATGCCCAGTACGTCCTCTGTGACAAGAACGCAAAAGAGATGCATCGAAATTATCTGTTTGCTTGACACTAGTACCCATTATCTATACTTCTAACAATTCAAAAGGCCTTCTTTGGGCCTGCTATTTATAATAGAAACAGTGTTAAAAACTGCACCTTTGGTTACAACAGAAACAAACAAGAACACATACACAATTTCCTTAAAAAAAGTAAGGCAAGCATAAATCAAACCTTCCTTCACGCTTGAATTTATTTAGCTTGAGTACTAATCTGTGCAGGGTCTGAAATGCCTTCAAAAGATGTTTGTGAACCCTGTCAGGGTCAATTATGCATGCATGTACATCCCCCGTGACCATATTCAAACTGATCAACGACATACATGTACTTCTATGTTGAAAAAGCAGACCCTTTTTGTTCAATTTCTCGCTCGGCATGTGCTCCCCCATTGTGGGAATACATAGAATGTTTTTCTTAAAGGGGCCCTGAAACACTTTTTCAAGTAACCATGGGATGAATTCGCTGGAATAGCTTTTTGCCTTACGAATCCAAGGTCGTGAAAATTTTAAGAATCCATCCAATGGGAGTGGAGTTAGAGGTTTGTCGCATGCTGCAATTGCTTTCTCTCTTCTCTCGTCCCGACGAAAGTGCTGGAAGCTAAGCAGGGAGAAATGGCAGGGCCACAGAAAAACGTTACGCGGGCCTCGAGACTTTGAGCACTTTGTATCTTTTTGGTCTTTTCTTCGAATGCGCAGCTTTTTCAGTGTGATCGCGCACGCATGCGTGGACAAGTAGCTGCCTCCCGCAGAAATCTCTGTAACGAGCGAGCGCACCATGTTAAAATCAGCCAATGGCTGATAGATGGGCTTACTATGTATAATTTTTGGGTATATGCCGTGATCTGTCGATAGAAGGGAAAGCAATTTGCAGCTGGCTTTGATGATTTATTGCGAATTCTAAGACGCGTGCTGCGCTATAATATTTGGCTCGCGTGTTGTCGGGAGCCTCTACTACCGATCGGCAGCATTTTCCGACGATGCTCGAAAAGTGTTGCAGGGCCCCTTTAAGTAGCTGTCTCTGTTTTTTTCTAATGCTTTGCTACAGTGGTGCGCTGGCTATCGCTTGCACATCAGGTTGCTTATGGTGGCTAGTTTTGGCTTCACTTTTCAAGTGGTTCTCCCTGTCTTGCTGTTACTCATGAATAAACTATATACGTATGTATATAGTTTATTCATGAGTAACCATGGGATGTTTCATGAGTATTCATGAGTAACCATGGGTGTCATGAGTAACCATGGGAAACACAAGCAATGTTTTACTTTGTAAATTTTTGGTTACCTTATAAAAATTGATGTTTTTTTCTGAAATAGAATTGACTGAAGAATATAAATCAGTAATAAAGAATCGACCCTGGCGAGTCGCATCTGGAGGGAAAATTTGACACTGAAATGGTTAACCTACCATCTTTGCTGTTAGGTACTACTTTATAACTGTGCCACACTAAGGTCTGCTTAGTGTACAAATAACTTGCCTTTGTAACTTCCAAAAACACTTTTGGTGGTAATGGAGCTTCTGGGAACATAGCGATGCCATGCAGCCTTTGTTGGAGGGCCCAGCGTTTTGTTGCCTTTACAAACAGGTTGCTAAAAACAGACCGCGTGGCTGCTCTTTTGAGCCACGAAAACCGAGTTATTGCAGCCAGCATCCATGTTCCAGAGTTTCTGGGAAGGTGCTTGAACTTTCTAAAGGCGGCTTCTGTAACAAAGACAGCGAGGCATTTGTCTGAAGAAATTGCTTTTGGAATGAATTCAACGCACAATATTATCACTTGTGGTCAAATGCTTAACCAATATTTGGTCAGGCATTATCATTATTATAGGTGAAACCCTCTCAGCAAAAGATAATAAAAAACATGCTGTTTTTTATTTAATGTTTTAAAGAGACAACCAACTGATTTTTTTCGACCCAGTTTTCTCTAGTGCGACAGAGAGCTTGCCCTTCGTAGTGTTGTAGTTAATCTTAAAAGCACGTAGTTATTTTATAAGCAGTATTTCTCGGTCTGAGAGGCTTTGAACACAGATGTCTTTTTTTGTGCAGCAATGCTGAAGATTGATAGCAATGCTGGTAGCCCTTCCAGTGACTTGTGCATGCTGTCATTCTACTTTCGCAAGAGTTCATGTAACTATGCTTAACCACGCATGTTCTGAGTTTTACAGCTATTTTTGAAAATAACAAGCTGCACAATGAGACAATGTGGCTTTATACAGCTTTCCTGGATTTGAACTGTGTTGCGTGCGCCTGTGCCCAAGATTGATGCACGTATGTCGTGGATGGTTTGTCCCGTTGTGCTTACTCTCTCGACACACGAGCCAAGCCAAGTCACCGAAAACGTCACTGCGCATATGCGCGGCATTGCTGAGTAGCAATGCACGTCATTTCCGAGACAAAGTGTAGGTAGAAAAACCACATCCCTCCAAAATCTTAGCGACCTAGAAACTGCATGCACGGTTACATGAGCATGCAGAAAAGTAGCTTAAGGTGCACTGACGAGCATGGGATGATTACGTCCTGCGAAGGCAGTGCCATTTTAATGCGCACTACCAATGCAGGCTTATATGTACATTTTTGTGAAGGAATATCTCTTACTATAAACTAGCGAACTAACAAAAAAATTGTTTACCGCGTAGAGTAATCTATGGTCACGTGGCAGGGTATATCAAATAATTGAAGTTTCTACCACCAAGGGGCACCACAGACAATTTTTTGCTATTTTCAATGAAGAAATAAAAATATAACTCCACCACTCACAAGAAAATAAGGGTTGGTTTGTGTCACTATGAGAGACAATCGTTCCAACCATGATGTAGTCATCTCATTTTAAGTACTGGGCAGTTGTCGATCCCTTTAAGATACAGGACATGGAAGCATTCGTCAAAAAATGTCGTCCTTTTACATAACGTTACATTACTTTTTAAAGCAATACAACCTGAGGAGTGTTTCCCTTTGTTGTAAGGCCTTAGCATAATGAATCAGGCATAATTTAGAACCAATAACACCAAAAGAATGAGTAATGTCAGTAGTGCACACATAGCAAAGACAAACCACTAGAATATGTGAGTAGTGAGTAACACGAACATTTTTGGCAAGCCATAGCTGCAGTGCACCATCTGTGCACCACACCACCCGAAGTGCTAAAATGACGACTGCTTCACTGCCCATTTTCTCAGGTATTTATGTATGCATACGTACAAGGTTTAATCTAGAGGTAAGAGGGAGAGGTTATAGGATAGCTGGTCTATACTTACCATTGTGAATGGCAACCCTGTCAAATGCTAACATATACTCTACAGACTGGAACACAAGATAGTCGCACAGTTCTCCAGGGAAGTTGTCCATCAGATGCGCCTCTTCCGAAAACACACACAGCAACGAAGCTGAAAACAAGGAGGTCATTTTTCAGGAAACGTTCAACACTACATTTATTATTATGAAATTGGGAATTGCAACTGTAAGAATCATCCGTGGCTCAATTTGCTGACATTGATAAGCGCATGATATATCTGTGGCTGTGCATTCGGAAGCACAAACAGAACATTACAGCAGCATTCATTATGGGCTTATAACAGGGCAGAGAATTTATCAAGACCAAGCAGCAGGAGAAATAGGATTGCTATTACAAACGGAAATGAGTTAACTGACAAAGTATTTTTTTAAAGCTTTCCAACTAACCCTCTCCTGTATCATGCACTGTGGAACAAAGGGCCCAAATTGCTTGTGAAAGGACATAATCGCTTACAAGAGATGTTCCATACAACAGAGCCCAATGTTATCAAATGAACAGGAATACCAACTGCTTCATATGTAAACTTCAGACTTGAAACCACACTTTTTGCAAGTAATTGTCAATTTAAAACTACCGTGTGTTTGCATGTATAACCCATACCAAAATGCGATAATTTCAGTGGCGAAGTAGGGGTGCAGATGATATGCAGGGTTCTTGTTTTAGTGGAACGTGATGGCAATGTGCATTGTGCAGTGAAGCCCCTAAACAGTCACACTAATTAAGCTTCTCTCTATCTCGCTGATACTACCTAATCTCTGCATGTTGACCCATACGCCATGCATTCAGCAGCGGTCATTCACTACGTAGCAAAAGCTGAAGATCATCGAGGTTGCTAGGGAACTTCAAAACTGCAAAGTGAGGAGCCGGAACGATGTGAACGAGTCTTGCATGCGACACTGGAGGAAGGGCAACGTACAAGCCACGCACTGTGACCGTAGACTATTTCATGGCCCCAATACCAGTGCCTACCCGGAGTTGGAGGTGTAGCTACATAGGGACATTTATATTGAAAAAGTGAAAAGCAGGAGCCACATCGACTGAGATGACCTAAGCCGAAGCCTCGTGACCATCGAGAGAGCTAGGCTTACCTCACGAGTTCCGTGTGAGCTGAAGATGACTGCACCACATGAAACGGCAAGCACTTTCAATCAGAAGGCAGATGACAATATTCCTACACTTACCGACTTTTTGCCGGTCTGCATTTGTGCTGTGCTGCTTGAGTAGTAGCTTTCGTGCATATTTTCTGTATGTAATGTATGGGCAACACTCGGAAGTTTTTTTTTTGTTTTTAGCGGGCTGAAAGCCAGGGTGCAGATCATATGCAGGGGCGGGTTGTATGCACAAAAATACGGTAATTTGGTGTTTCCTTCGACATCACTCACAATGATGTATACTATTCTCTCAGATACTACAACAATAGAGTTTTCCGGGTTTATTGCTTTCAGTGCCTCTTTGGACATGAAGTAACAACAGAACTAATCTATCATCACTTGATCTGCACTTCGACCAGTGTTTTTCCACCCTGCCCATGAAATATCAAACTACTTCAATTCTTGAACCTCTTCTTCCACCCCTAATTTATGCCAAACTTAAGTAGCATTCATTGTGCCACTACTAAACCAGATCTTTTAATGGCATTGCTCGAGTGCTTGTACTTACAGCGCTTGAATTCTGGTTGCTTAGCATGCTCTGAAATTGCAAAAATAGCTAGATGTAGTTGCATAGTCTGTAAGGAGCATTGACTGCCTTACCATTTCTGTACTTGGTTGCTGTAGAAACTGAAAAAGACCAAGGTAGAAAATCAAAGTTAAACTGCTCTACACTGTACAACCTTTTGAGAAATAGTACTGTATATAACCATAATACAATAATAGCTGCAGAACCTAAGTGAGGACCTATCTGTGTGTGCTCAAATACTCTACAGTGAATGAGTAATGACAAAAAACGTGCAATCTTGGTATATAGTCTCATGCTAAACATATAATATTCTCTTCTTTGGTTCACGAAACAGTCTTACTCGATATATTACTAGTAGCATATTCTTAGGCTATGCATTTATTTTCATCAGAGTAGCCATTTACTTGCCTCTCCATCATAAATGGTATATAACCCTTTTTCTCTTGTTATCTACATCACTATTCGAGATATGCAAATTTTTATTCTTGTTGTTGAAAACTGAATCGTGTGCACTGCCGAAAACATTTAGATACCATCTGATCTTTTACTGGCTTCATCCGACTATTTGCATGTTATAGCTATTGACTAGTGTGCTACTCAGTGCTCGTTGAAAATGTTCCTGCCATGTCAACTTAGCAGCACCCATTCTACTGCACAAGACCATCACAGATTTTGTGCCCATCATCCATTTCTTTGACTTTTCAGCTTCCTGTAATTATTGACGCTGGGATAGACAATGAATTCACATGATATTAAACTATGAAGCCTTTCTATACCTCTGACATTGTGCAGAAACCATGTTTCCATATACACATTATTAGTACTAAGGACAAATATTTTGAACCTGCAACGAGAATTCAGGATCCAGACATTTACTTTTGTTTCGTGGTTAACAATTTTCCTTTCTTCATAATGTCCTCCCCATTGCAAATCTTGACAGAACTTACTTCTTTATTTAATGTTCTTGCAATTTCAGTTGTCAATTTATTTATTCTTGTCCAATTATCAGCAAGCATTCTATTTAGATCACTTCGCAAAACAAGGTACATAATGTTTATTCCCACTGCAAAATGAAGTTCTTAATCGCAAAGATTTTTTTTATTGTGCAGGCAGGTTCTTTCCCACTTTTCAAGGTACTTTTGAAATGATAAGAACAATCCACTAGTAGTGCAATATTTCATCATGACAAGTATAATAGGCCCATACTGAATATACAAGCTGCAGTTAGGCTAGCAAGGTTGTTATCAATATACGAAAGCAGCCTTCCTGAAACATTATGTAAAATTTGAGAAAAATTAAATGTTTACAATGGCAGGGTGTGCTTACACAATGAGCTCTTGTTCTTGGACATAACATCTGCTATAAGGCGAACACGTGGAAAAGGTTGCTCATTTCTACAGTGGCCATCAAGGTCATCAAAGTTGAACCCAAAGACCGCAACACAGCCATCAGGATGTGCTTGACGAAACTTGACCACCTGTGTGTAGGAATATGTGAAACTACAAGTGAACAACTCTTCTGGGATGATAAAAAGCTGTTCTCGGAGTAATTTTCAAGAACCGGCATGTAGTTTAATGTTTTGAAAGCTGAAAACAGGCAATGTTGTTCAATAGTTGCTGATCAACAGAAAAATAATTACACTATATTTAAGGCTTGAAGTTCTTACCATATGTAGCAACAGAATACTAGGGAAAGTTCAACATAACCCAGGAAATCATTTTTTGAGGTTCTGTGCACTTGAAATAAAACTAACATCTATGGCCTTTTTTCACGTCCTTTTTTAAGTGTACAATGAAATAAGTACTGCTACTGCACTTAGTTTAAAGTACAAAAATCTGCAAAACATCACTACTGAATAATACAGCAAGCTGTTCCATGTATCTTTTCTTTTCATTTAGAAGGGCATAAGACTCGTTTTACATTGAAGCTGTTGTAGTTTGCCTTAGATTCTCTGGTGTTGCAAAAACTCCACGTGTGCTTATACTCCACGGGAACTGGACAGGCCCCACTTCCGAAGTGTGGCAGCTTGGGCTAGTTTATATGGCATTGCGACAGTTATAGAGCGAGAACAAAACGGCGACACAGAGACAAAAAAGACACGAAGGACACGTGTCCTTCTTGTCTCTGTGTCGTTGTTTTGTTCTCGCGCTATAACTATCGTCATCCCACTACCGAGTACAGAAGGCGTGAGCATTGAAGGAAAACTCTGCTCGGAGAAACGGAGCATGTGGTACACATGAGAGAGAAAGAAAGAAAAAGAAAATACAGAAAGAGAGAGAAACAACTTTGAAAAGTAGAGATAATTAAAGGAATAAAGACATGAAAAACTAGAAAAACAGGGAATAAATGAAAAGACACAAAAAAGACAGAGTGAAATAAAGAGAAACAAAGAGAGTGAGATAGAAAAATGAGGAGAAAAAGAAATAAAAGTGTAAAGAGCAAGAAATAGAGAGAGAATGAAATGGAAACAGATGGATAAAAAGTAAACAAAGGGGGAAGATAAAGGAGGAAAAAGGAAAAAAGAGCAAAGAAAAATAAGAAATAAGAAAGCTCCCACCAAGATGAATTCTTCTTTCGGGCTTGGCACCACTAGTTCGAAGCTGCCACAATGTTTTTTCTATGCTCAACTACACGATAAGCAATTACGGAAGTTTCTTCAATATATAATGACCCACCTTAGTTTCATAACTACAGCAAAAAAACTAGCAGACATGAATACTGTAGACTCTCAGTAAATGGAAATCTGTTAAAGGGAACTACTGTTTAAACGAAACTATTGAGTATGCAATGCTTGGTTTTGGGCTTGTATTCTGCACCCATCTTCACCTCTCAGTAAACGAAAATTCTGCTAAATGGAACGCATTTTCTTGGTCTTTTCAGGTTCCGTTTACTGAGATTGATTGATTGATATGTGGGGTTTAACAACCCAAAACCACTATATGATTATGAGAGACGCCGTAGTGGAGGGCTCCGGAAATTTAGACCACCTGGGGTTCTTTAAAGTGCACCCAAATCTGAGCACACGGGCCTACAACATTTCCGCCTCCATCGGAAATGCAGCCGCCGCAGCCGGGATTCAAACCCGCGCCCTGCGGGTCAGCAGCCGAGTACCTTAGCCACTAGACCACCGCGGCGGGGCTCCGTTTACTGAGAGTCTACTGTATTAAGATGAAACAATGAATGCTAGAAATTACACTGCAATTGTACAGGCAGATCAAAATTTGCTCTATATCCCTTTCATAAACAACAGTAATGGGAACCACTACAGAAGCTCTAGCTGCGAGTAATGCCCCTCTACAACTACCTATATGTATTGTGATTTCCAATCACCTTGTCATAAGTTGTTCGCTTGGTTTCAAAAACCATAACATAGCTGTTGTTGCTCTGAACCAAGCCCTCCAAGCCTGGTTCAATGGTTTCTTCCTCGCTACCTGTCGGGCACACCTAGAAAAAAAAAGAGAGATACATGAAATGATTATAACTTGTAAGCTCAACAAGGTGAAGTAGCCAAGCAAAATATTAGGAATCCCTATGAGTGGTGAAAAAAAAAAGTTGGTGGGAGGAACTAAGCCGGAATCAGCTCTGCAATAAATGTAGCATGCCCATTTGCACTCGGTTTGACCTCTCAAACACATCTAATAGTACTATTCAGCAGTTCCTCATTTTAAAGCATGACCGTGACCAGTTTATCAATGCCTGTCCAGTTAAAAGCCTGCTACTCTGTTGTTCTATACTTCATAGGATTGAGCATGTGAACTGCAACTTGAATGTGTTATGAGTGATGAACTTATACAGCGACAATGCAACAAGCACCCTACTCTTTCAGCAAAAGCATCTACCATTGGGATTTGACAAAGCAAACACACAAAACCATCATACCTCAGAGAGACTTGTCCATTTCTGCTCAACACAGCGGTCTCCAATGCGCACTTGTTGGCCAGATGACCGTGCCATGCGGAAGCCCAGCACAGCCAGGTTGACTGAAAGGCAGCTATGCGAAACTGCACTGGAAATGTTTTTCTGCAAGCATAGACACAGCACATAATAATTGATCACAACCACTCATTAGACTATGTAAGGAACAAGAGAGCTAAATATCCAGTAAATAAATGCTGCATACGCTGAAGATTCCTACAAGAAATCTGGCTGAGCTGTGGTTAAAGTGTATTTAAGCATGTTAAATATCTCAATACCACATGTTAAATGTTTGTGTGGGTCAGTAACACATGCTTAGCATATCTTGTAGTCTGTGAGCTTCATTCTTCGCGGTCTCTTAAAGGGCCTCTCTTAATAGCATGGCCACAGTGGCCCACTCTCAAGCACCACATGCTGTTTAAATGTTGCTTAAGGACTTATGCATAATATCAACTACAAAAATAAACATTCAATAAATATTCTCCTAGAGCTGTAGTTTTTATCTCGCAGTGGCCAAAGCTGAAAAAAACATTATTTCCCCCGGACGACCAGAAAGTGGGTAAAAGTTTCGGACTGCTGTTTCCGTTTGGCAACTTATAGAAGCACTAATCAGTATCGTATATGACTAGATGATAGCTAAGTAAAAATATATGTTTTGCTTGGGCTACTATTTTTGTCATGAAAAAAGCAGGCAAAATTTCTCTACTACACCAGCTGTATTCCCATGTCTTTCTGACACTGGTAACAAACCTTGGCCATCTCTCCTACAGCCTGAGACATGTGTTAGCGGGATTTATTAACACCCCACAGTCATTGCAGCGTCTCGCTAAATGTCTGGCACCCCAGCAGTACGTATACCCAGTAGTTAATAAATGTAACTGGTATGTTCCGCTTTTACAGTTGACCATTCATACAATCATGAAGACAGTGTGTCAAATGAACATGTGAAACTCTAGCATACCATGTGCTCAAAATCCTGGTATACAAGTCTCCTCATAGCTGGGTAGTGCATGCGACATACTGGACCAGGTTTTACTTCCTGATTAATGAAGACAAGAAAGTCACAAGTGCTGCAAGAAAAAAAAATATATGTAGAGGTTTTATCCATTTGGTCAATTACAATGTGAAAAGATGTGAGAGGAAAAGACATTTGGCTGATGGCCCGAAGTGCGTTTAAAGTCAATTGTTTGAAGGGAGTACATACCGACTCAGGCGCTGCAAGACATCCTCGTCAGCTTCAAAGGCATGAACTCCAACTATTAAGATCTTGTGGTCTTCCACTGAGTGTTGAAAAATAGACCATATTGCCTGAGAACAAACAAACAATTGTTGTTGGATTCATCTCTATAGGACCACACAGCTGCCTTATATATCACACACAAAGAAAATGAATGAAAACCTACGGCATGCCCATAATCTACTACTACAACGTATTTCAGACAAATATTACTGGAACTTCAGACACGATGAACTTTTTGTCCCTGATTTCAAGCAGCTGAGGAGCTCAAATCCAACATGTGACAGTAATCTGAGAAAAACTAATGTTTGGCAACAACCTGGGTAACAGGGGTGTCAAATTCAGTAAAGTCATAGGCCTAATCACTGGCTACACCAGCATATATTGAGGCAAATGAGTTGATATGAAGTATCAATGTAGCTGAATTGAGGTTTCAGCTCCCAGTTGCTGTTGCTTCTCTTTAGAGCAACCAAACTTATTGTATCCCTCTCCTCAACACAACAGCACTATGAATGCACTGTAAGCAAAAGCAAATAAACAGCCATTTCCAGCCAACACCTTTGCTTACAAATGTTCATTCTATGTGGCATAAAAGAGAAGCTGCACTTGCTCATTTCTTAGCATTAAAACAGTTCTCATAAATTGATACCTAGAGTTTGCCTAGAACAAATTACCATTACAATGACTGAAAAAGGGCATCTACTATAGCTTTGTTAATGATAGAAAGCTAGCATGCACATGTAGAACAACAGTTGAAAGATGGATCCCACCAACAAGATAACTTTGCACTGATAAATGACTTTGATCAGTTACCCTATGGTCATTTATGCAAACTGTTGCCTGCCAAAAAAATGCAGTTCAGGCTATGCAGTTTCCTTCGATATGAATTTGTTGATGCTAATTTACGATTCTCAGTTTACGAATTTCCAATATGAATACTGTTTGCCTCACTGTTAAAAAATCTTTAAACATTCACAACATTCCAAGACTTGCCCACTATAGAAGTTTCCCTTAATTTGAGTTGGAATGATTAGAGTGGGATAGGCAATTTATGACAGCATAAAGATGAGAATGATGTATTCTAAAAAAGAAGCGGAGCCATCCTTTGGACTTACATTAGAAAACTCTGCAACTGCATGTATGTCTGTTGAAGGCAGAGGAAACAACGCAAGACCGGCCAATTTTTCGTAACTTGTCCAGCGCTTCAACTTCGTAGACAGCGGTCTCAAAAACCCTGCGTCCCCAGTGTTCAAGGCATCGATAAAGGAAGGTTCAAGAGCTGCTACTGCCCGACTTTTGCTTTGTCGTGTAACAGCAAGGAAGTCTTCAAGGAGCTTCCCTAAAAAAATATGAAGAGCAAAAAAATAAATAAAAAGAAGCATGGTAGTTTAATTTACTGAGTTGCTTAAGAACAAAGACTTCACTGTTTTTTTTTTTTTGTAGTATATGGCTTTATACAGCCTAAATGGCAAGGCAGTACACATCACCACTAAGCACACTATTGTGTGAAAAGGAGCAATAACAAGAGCTCTAAGGGCAATTATTATCATTCTATGTATCATTCATGTACTAACAGTGCCCTCTGAAGCACCACCATGGCCAACATGAGTAAATGTGAAAGCAAATACAATAATGTACAAATACCTGAAACTGGGACACCGGATACACCAAGACGAACAAATGCAAACACAATGTAGTCGCACAATTTCATCACGGCTTTTCTCAGAGAAGGACCAGAAGAATCATATATGCAGATGATATTCCCTGTAACAAGAAAAACATATGCAGTTTCTACTTTTTCGTCTAAGCTTTATTTTAATGCATGCGTTATTGAATTGGCATAAAATGCAGCTGCAACTTGGCCTAATAAAAAAAATCTGCAGTTATATATAGTAAATTAACACTTTTTTGGCATGCAACAGTGTTGTCTATGTCATTTCATGCTCCATTTCTTTTATGCATTTTCTCCCAGGCGCATTTCTTCCATGTATATAAGTGCATACGTATAACATGTATACAAAGACACGTATTTGAACACACATGCATGAAACAAAAATATTTAGCAGCTTACGTGAAGCGTCTTGCTCAGGTTTTCGCTTTCCCTCTGTATGATCAAACAAAAACTAGTTAGAATCGCTTCCACACAAAAAGCAGCTTTCCAGCGCATTAGCACTTGGTACTTACTAAGTGGGACTTGTCGTCGTAGTTTATAGGCTTCTGAAATAATTATAGAAAATATCTATTGTATGTCAAAGATCTTCTCAGTTTATTTATATTGCAGAAAAATGACAACAGTACCTTTGGCTGTGTTCAGCAGACTCTTTATATGCACCAGCCTTGAAAATGGCTTCCCCAAACTTGGGCAATCATTTTGTGCATCTTCCATCTCCACTCGAAAAGCAGCCACGCAGAAGTTTGGTACCTCACCCAAGAGCATAGACATCTGTATGAATTTTTTCAATAACACAAATGGGAAAGCTTCAATAGAGCAGCTTATATGCATATTACAAATTCAGCCTTTATTGAGCACTGTCAATCTTTTGAGACACTCTGCCCACATTTAGTGTACCGTAATTACTTGATTCTACTGCGCCCTCGATTGTAACGCGCACCTGATTTCCACAACGAAAAAAAAAAAAGGTAAGAGATTGATTGCAACGCACACCCATTTTTTTCGCTGGCCCGCACGATCACACCACTCAAAAAATTAACTCCTTTCGGGAGCGTATTCCATTTAAATAAAAGGTATGGGGGAAGCTTGCGCCCATCTGATATGTAACAGAGCATTGCCGTGACTGCAGTTTTACCGTGGACCGATGTCAGCACGCGAACTTGCTTCGCCCCCTTCTTCTCGACGCTTGTGGTGCCAGGCATGTCGAAGTAAAGAAGCATCTGATCGGGATTCCCGATTTACCCAAGCAGGTAGCCGTTGTTGTGCCGCAGGTTTAGGACGAACCTCTGAAAACTGCGAAGCTTTTCATCGTACTCCTCCGCAAAACTTTTCGCAATGCACGTTCACCTTTGGAGGGAAAAGCCTTTCCTCTTCATAAAGTTAGTTAGCCAGCACCTGCTTGCTTTGAACTGGCTCCGCATTAGCCTTTTTTCTAAGGCTAACAGCATAGCCCGCACTTGGAGCAGTTCTGTCGTCACGGGCCACTGTGTCGCTCGCTGCTCAAGCACATACTCACCGAGCAGCTCTTCAATTTGCGAAAACCGACCCTGCTGTGTTCCAGTGAAGCCTTTGCGTGAAGCTTTGCTGTCGACAATCTTCTGCTTTTGTTTCCGCCAGTCCCATACGCACGTTTCGGGAACTCCGAACAACCGCGACGCGGCCTGATTTTCGTCCGTTTTTGCACACGCGATGACTTTTCTTTTAAAAGCGGCATCGTGGTGCACTCGAGTTTTTTGAGTCGGCCCTTCTATGCCGTCGATGCAAATGCACTACAAGATGACGAACTCCTCAGCACACGTACGAAGTGCCGCACATGGGAAACACATAGGCAGAAATGGCCAACGCGCCATGTCGACACACGTAGGGGGCGGCCATTTTGAAAATGCCGATGGCAATAGAATAACCGCATTCATTTTTTTTTTCGTACTCATTTCTAACGCGCATGCGATTTATGAACCCGCTTAACCGTAAAAAAAGTGCGTGTTAGATTCGAGTAATTACGGTATTGCTTGCTTTTGGTAGCTGCGCCAACTAAGTACTAAGAAAGTACAAGTTACACTGGGATTTGGATGGAATGAAGCTCATGTGTAATCAATGGGTGTTCAACTTCATTTTGTGGTGTACTGTTGCACATAACTTTCCTGAAGGCACTACCATAATTTTTGCATCAAGAATATTTTGAAATGATTATTACTTTTCCAGTGTAGCACACATTAAATGCTAGTTCATTATTTTCTACCAATTATCTCCTAGAATTAAGGCGAGGAGCCTATGACCGAAAGCATTGGTTGATAAAATCGAAAATTTTGCAGAGTGGTTATAACCTTCTGCTGCTGCTCGTACAAGGATAGTACGTGGACTTATTTTTCCCGATGTTGAAAGCACAAGAGATGCATCGGAACTGAGGCTTTATTCAAGAACGTCACTCACACATGAAGGATGTTTCAAACTTACTCAGGCTGTAATATAGAAACTTTTATGGAGCCCACAAAAACTCGGAAAAGATCTGACAAAAAGCTACACAGATAACTACGGTAGAGTTATTTCATGATTGAAACTGGTAGGTAGATGCTTATAAAGCATTATAACATGATGCTAATTGCTAAGCTTTATTTAACGAGACACTATTACTTTCTATTGATGACCGTGCATAAGTGTCTACAAATTTCACTCACCCTGTGCTGGATGGATACCTTGCTTTCAAAGGTAAGAATATTTGTGTTGTTCTTTGCACGAGCAACTTCAAACATGCCATCAGTCCTTTCTGTATCGATTCCACAAACCTTGGAGTAGCAAAATACAATTTTATGCATTACACGCAAACCTCGATATAACAAATTCGTATATAACGAAATATCAGTGATAACGAAGTAAATGAAAAATAGTCTCGCAATAGATTTAGTGTCGAGAATAAACCTTTATAATAAAATTTTGGATATAACGAACTTATTTTCATGTAAGATGCGAGTTTGTTATAATGAGGTTCGATTGTATTAAGGGTATGTTTTCAATGTAGGCTGTTTTAAGACAAAAGAGTCCCTATTCACTTGAATATCTCACTCACTGATGGTCCAATATGCTGTCGAGCATAGTACACATTTTTCGAAAACCAGAAATCCTTTGAAATGCTGATGATCCCCACATTAGCAAGTAAGTAATCCAATAAAAGTCACGACGATTTTGATAGCGCTGTGTAAAAAAAATTAACAGTTTAGGATTACCATACATGGGTGTTGGAAAAGTCGAGATCTAACTTAAGTGTTCAAGAAATTACTTGATACAGTAGTGATTTAAGAGTAGCTAGATGCACAACAAGTGGCTAGCTTTTATTTACAGAAGATGCTTCAGTGCCTCACACATTTGCTGCTCTGTAGTCCAGTCTTCATAAGGTTAAGCAAGAAAGCAAAAGATTAGTTAAGTTCTTCAACTCCCAACACTGTTCAACAGTTACTTTATACATTGTATAGCATGTTAACTAGCCATGATCCACATGATCAACAATTGCAAAATAAACTCTTCTTCTTGAGATATCTCATCTCAAAATATGAGATGACTGTTAATTCACTGTTGGGGCAGCATTCATGACCTTACCGATTTGTACTGTATCCAACTCTCAGCTTTGCAGTTTTCTCTCTCTTCAGCTGCTTCGCCGATGAAGAAGTCGCGAACTGCCATGTTCATTGAAATGCAAGGCGACGTCATGTTTCTGGATGCCTCCAAAAGTCGAACCTGAAAAATATTGATCGCCTTGTACTATCGCCTTTCACCATACTATACTAATACGTGGACTATTATAGTTTGTCTTGATAGATAGCAGGCAGTCAATTGTGCCGCCTTCTCAATGCTGCATGTAGTACCACATCATGAAATTCAACATACATGCCACTAGAGTTTTTAATGACAAGAATTGCAATATTGATCATTAAACGACATTAATAATTCAGCTTGACAACACAATACAGAATTTCAGGTTAAGTTCATCCTGTGGTCACGTAGGAACAACTAAACATTTCAAAGGTACGGTATGTGCTGAATATAAGGGCAATGATAATTCCTCATGTATTTATGCATTTTCAAAGATTGCATACCTACATTAACATATTACAGCTTTATGATTAACAATACGCACTAGGTCACAAATTCACACACAGTGCATACAATTAGTAACAAAACCGATCTCACCATGTAATCGCTATCTTCCATGGTATGCAGCTTAGATGGAAGGCCCACTTTACAATGGCCATCGGGTTTTCTTGCATGTGTCATCAGTATCAAAAAGTCGCAGTTACTGAAATGAAGGCAAGACCAGTTGACAAATGTTCAACACAGTGCAAAAGCGATTTAGAAGGGGAAAAGGCAAAAACACAATACGGCCAACTCACCCAGTTAGTTCATCTGATAAACGTGTTTCATGGCTCTTCATGTAGTTAACACCGATGACAAGGATAGGCTTTACAGGCATTCTTTGAAAATGATGCCACACGTTCTGCACGAAAAATTCAAACTTCTCATGACTGGGATGCCATAAATCTTTTGTTAAAAACATTCTAACTGAATTCAATGTCCAGCATTATTTATAGCATGTAAAATTTCATGTGCGGACGATGAGGATTTAATTCCTGTCTATGACAACTGCATTCTATGATATCATTAACCATAAAAATTGAACATACCTTAGCCACAGTCTTGAAGGTTTCTGCATTAGTCACAAATGTGTCATAAGACAGCATGACACCATCTAGTCTCTTCTTTCGCATCCAACTGAGAAGGGAACGAATGAAGCTGTCAGCTTTGTGTTCGTCCTCAAGTACACCCGCCGATTTCAGGGTATTCACTTCGACCAGTAATGATGAGGAAATTATGCCCTTTTTCAGGGCCAAGAAGCTGTGAAACGCTCGTGCTGAAATGAAACCACAAGCTTGTATTACGAGAAATTTTTTTATTAGTTTGAATATATAAAAAATAGCCACAAATCAGTGCATTTGTAAAATATATGAGACAAGAATATAAATATCTAATACATATATCTAATATTTCAATGATGCACTTCAGCACAAAAGCAATGTGCTGAACTTCGTAGTGAACTGAAGAAGCGTCAAAGCAAAGGCTAGTTTGTTGATGGCCCGTTCATGGTTTAGACTTGTGCAGTAGTTTCTTTATGACCTGTTCTTTTACTTGGCACTTTTAATAAAAATTAATATATACCAACTAGCTTGCATCTCGATGCTTCTAAGGAACTTAGTAACACTCGAAAAACTGCCTTCCATTCACAGCAATAAAACATACTAGAGTTACGACAAATTGTACAGAGTGCAACATAGCGTGATCATGATTATCATAATTATTTTTCCTTAAAGGCCCCTGTCGGGATGTTACATAGGGGGGTGGGGGGTTCACATAGGAAGTAAAACATGAATCACATAGGATCACAATATTGAAACATACATCTCGAGAAAACGCAATACTTGTTTAGATGCAGAACGAAGGTTAAATTCGAGTGGGGTACAGAAAAGAAGAAAAAAAAAAAAAGAAAACAGTAAAAGATCATTATGAATGTTACAACGTGAGGTGATCAGTCAGCAACTGCTCAAACACAATAGGTTTACACGCATTGACAACACTGTCTGGCTGTATGTTATGTTCTACAATGGCTATCAACAAAAAAAGATTGAAAGAAGACAAGTTGTGCAACCGCTAGGTGCTGCCAAAATTAAAGAGACGATGAGATACATGGTTTGTGGGGGTTTAAAAGCCTACTGTGAGGTTGAGGGAAGATATAGTAAGGCTGCTGGAATTAAATTAAATTATTTACAACATATAACGTGCTCCAAGTAGAATAACTGTACAATTTCAATTTCTTTGCTAAATACAAACATAGTTTGAAAAGTAAAAGCAATTTTCTAACACTGTGTCAGCTCAAAGAGTCACCGGAAACACCTTACAACATAAGGAAAGAGACACATGGCAAATACCGTTTTTGCGAATGAATTACGGTTTTAAAAGTATTAAGCATATCATGCCAAACCTTTTGAATCACCTAAACAACAAAGGCATTACGCCTGCTATGCTGACAAACAAGCAGTGGAAAGAATATTTAATTAGCAACCCCAGAGAGTCTGGGAATTTGATATTAATCTCTAGTTCATTTTCACTATGTATTATTTTACAGTATCACATTCAATTTGATAATTCGTTTGAATAGAAGTGCATTTTTGCCTTTTCATATGCACATGTACAAACATGAACTGTTTCATGTATTTGTGTTTTCGTTACGCATACTGTTTCAAGGTAGTGTTTTCTTATATATATATATATATATAAATTATGTTCTTTTGTATTCCTTCTCACTTTGTTCTCCCATATTATGCCGCATTCTTTCAGTGTTTGCAATTTTATATTATGTCTGCAGTTGAAGTTTGCTGCTAAATTTGTTGATATTTTACTTGCTTGTGTGATGCGTTCTTGTACTTTTTCTGTTTTACTTGCTTGTATTTTATTTCTTTTTTACAACAGCACGAGTCTGCGGCCAATCTGCTCAGGGTCAGGAATCCCGTCAAGCTGCTTTTTAGCAGCTTTTAATTACTGTCCCTGCATCTTTTTCACTTTTTAATCTGATTCACATTTTGTTTTGTATTGACCATTGCCATTGTATGAAAACATTGAATCACTGTACTTTAACATGATTGCTGAAAAATATTGCTAAATAAACTGAAACTGAAACTGAAACACAGCCTTGCAATCCCCCGACAAAATGACAATGACCCAAGTACCAGGGATCACTATATTTGTACCTTGAAGAAATAATCCTGGCTGCATGGTTCTTTATATATTCTAAAGCCTTAATGAGGTATGCTTGATGAGGGCTCAAAATAGCTGAGGCATACTCATGCTTACATAAAATAATTGTTTCATAAGCCATTTTTCACGTGAACGAGGGACACAACGAAAGAGAATGTCGGATGCAATCAAGTGATTTAGTAGCACCAGCAGCAATTTTGTGATGTTATAAGACCAAGTTAACTTGTTTATTGTTATACCAAGATAATGATACGATTTGACAGAGGACAAACTATAGAGTTGAGGGAGTACATGTAATTACTGTTGGAGTGCAAAGGATATCTGCATAACTTTGTATTTCAAGATGTCAAGTTTTATTAATGAATTGGTACACCAGGACTCAATTTGATTTTAAGTCATATTGAATGATATCATGGTCAGTTTGGCATGTGATGCGATGATAAAGAACGCACTCATCCAAAGAGTAGAATGGAAGACGAAATGCCACTAGAAAGGTTGTTCATAAAGATGAGAAAGAGCAGAGGACCAAGATCAGATCCCTGTTGTACTCCAGAAATCCCGTTGTGGTTGAACAACAATTACCGGGAACTGTGTATTGTAGGAGATTGGTCAGAAAGCACCAGATCTATGACAACGTGAGTGGGTCCAGTAGTAGGCATGAAATCTTGGTCAAAAGTCGCTGGTGGGGAACACTGTCAAAAGCTTTAGCAAAATCAAGATAGATGACATCAGCATAAAAGGATGAGTCGAATTTTAAGTGAAGTTCAGCAACCAATTGAAAGAGCTGAGTATCACATGATGAGCCAGGCAACAAACAGCGATGACTGTGAGAACAGAAGTAATGAATACCTAGACGACGTGCTGTTTCTGAGTACATCATAAGTTCTAGACGATAGCAAGCAATTCTTGTAAATGTAATGGGACAGTAGTTGGAGGAATCTGAGTGGCTGCCAGACTTGTATACCGGCACTCCGTATACCAATATACCGGTACTTGTATACCGGTACCGGTATATCGGAAGTGAACTCTCAGTGATGAACTGCGTCACAATTATTTATAATATAGGATTGGAGAATACTTTCATGCCTTTTAGTATTTTTGGCTGTCGTACCATCATGCCTGGGGGCACTAGAAATATTCTCAATGAGCTTCAAGATTCGTAGAGAAGTACAATAGGAGGAATTTGGGAAGAGAATGGTTGGGCAGCTCAAAGTTATTTAGCACGGCTGAATTTGTGAAAAAAGGTCTAAAGTAAGAGTTGATTACATCTGATTGCTTATAAACTGGCAAAGTGGATTCATCATGGCAACTCAAGAAACATTATTGGGGCTTTAACATGGTGCAAGAATTTTCCAGAGTTTTTTAAAGGCTGATGCGCATAATGATCTGCAAGTCATGGTGGAAGAACTTTTTGGGTTGTTTCAAGGGAGAAGTATATTCATGCAGGCATGTAAAGTACATTTCCCACTCTGAGAAAGTTAGTGCATTCCGCATCCGAAAAGATGGTTTTTCTTTCCTAGCAAACAAACTCTTTCGTGTGTTCGAAAACCAAGGTTCTTCCAAGTCCCTGCGAATGCATATGAGGATTACGTGCAACTCAACCAGAGATGTTAACTTATTCTAGAATAACAGCCAACTGTCGTCGATTCATTAAGATGAAGCAGATAGACAGAAAAAATAAAGAAACTCAATGCCAAGTTAATTTTTGTAAAATAGGCTTCGTTGTAATTCCTATTATGTTTTATTGAGCACTGCCTTACAAATGGTGGGATGCAGAGGTTAAATGGCACTAAGTTGTGATAACTTAGACCATCAATGAATGATAGCGATTTAACTATAGTACCTAGATTGGAAACAGGAACAAGGTCATAGATATTTTCTTCATGGGAAACTAACCAATTCCATGTGTCAGTCATTTATTACTCATTATTAATGTGAGAGATGCCAGCTGGTACTGCATTAAGAGAAATAATATTGGGCACTCGTCATTTTGATGTGTGCCTAACTAGGCATCCCCCCAACGTAACTAACTAGATATAGTTTGCAGGCTTACCGTTTGTCGCAACGAATTTATGGCCCGTATCTTTGTAAGCAACGCTGGAGTACACAACGTAGTTACAGATTTTGTCCACAAGGTAGTGCAGTGTATCAACCATGCTGGCCACACAAATTAGGCTGACTGAAATATAAAAAGCATTTAAATGAATTCCCTAAGTCAATATAGTGTAATACGGACAAGCTTACACTTGGGAGCCTTCTTGTGAACAAAGTCCCCACTAGTTGAAATAAACGGTTCCTTTGTATCTTCTTGTGCTAATTGGAAAACAAAAAGAAAAATCAGTGCGAATACGCCTTCACTAAAATACAAAATAATATGATATACACTAAAAAAATAAGTAAACACAGGTAATTAAATATTTATTGCCATTGGTCAACTGAAATAACTTTATGTTGTACCAAACAGAATGAAGGTTCCTAGTAAAGCAGAAGCTTTAAATGATAAATAAGCAAAAGACGACAAGCCATAACTGAAACCCCAGCAACTTTATTTTATCATGCAGACATGATAAACTGTAACTGCAAAGCCAAATGTATGTGCCATTACAGTACCTGTGACAGCTACTTTATACCATATTTTTATGTGTATAGCATATTCCAATGATGATCTTTTGTATTGTTAAAGAGGCAACTCTAAACAAAACAGATAACTTAAAATCTGTTTAACTAAAGAAATCTGACAATCTGAAGATCATCGGTAGAGGAAACAGCGTGAGGAATGAGGATATAGACGCACAGAATGAATAAATCTCAGCCATGTGAACTTTTTCTGTAAGTCAATAATGCCATGGATATAATTTTTCATTCCACCACTTTGTCAGCTGGTAAATCTGAAAGTTCTGTAGCCCCCCCATGTTTTGCCCCCATGGGTTTCTTGTAGAAGGTGGCACTAGTTACGTACATCCAATTTGAACAGTATTGGCACGCTGCTTTTCACAGCCTAAGAATGCCTTCTACATATGGTCCATATTATAGTTATTGAAACATCTTATTTTCACATGACTACTTGTCTTACATTATACAGTATTTTCCAGTGTACAATTAAGTCAACCAAGGGGGCATTCAAAATTAAATTATTGTAAATAGAAAGAACAAGGTGAACAGGAAAATATTAGAGCATAATGCACTTCAATTACACCCTTGCAAACTTTAGACATTAGTGCAGTCTGCATCACCATAGTTACAGATAGAAAAGCTACCACTACAGTTACAAATTTTAGCCCAGTACTTACATGTAGATGCCTCTGTAACTGTAGATTCAGTTTCAGTTTTAAGGGTTATGTCATGTCGTTTCTCTGCCAGAAATAAGGTATCAAATGCAATTACTTCAGGATCTTAGAACAGAAAAAGAGTTTTATGTATACTATTCTTTAAGCTTTGCCTACTAGCACTGCAGTACAATGTTTGCTACAATACATCATTTTACATGATTATTAGTTCATTACAATGCTTTTGTATGTGCTAAATGATATAAAAGTAGAAGGTTTCAAGAGATGAAATTAACAACTTCAGATTCCACCTATGAAGAACTGCCTGCAAATGTGTCAAATCATTACTGTGTTATTTCATGGCATTCAACATTCTATTGCAACAGGAATAATGGGATAATTTTTTAATTAATGTGTGTTATATTAACTCATCTTAATTACATTATTATTAAATATCTCTCTATCGTGAAGTCATAGATGTTTACTTTTGGCAAAAACAGAATAAAATCTCAGGCTAGTAATATAGTGCCAATGTATTTTTGGTTATGTCCATTTTGAGCATAGAAAAATTCTGCTTTTCACATTTTTTGCAGGAAGTGACACGTCGCACGACTCGTCAAATGTGGTAGTGATTGTATGTATCAGTACACTGCAAAATGGAGTTCAATGATGACAAATTTAAAATGCACGAGGTTCAATTCATTCAAACCATGACATACCTTTCTCTTTCTTAGCCTCTATTTGATGCAAACAGCAAACACAAGTGGTGCACACAATTGTGTACATAGCATCTCACAGGGTACGTTACTGAAACTGCAATTAAAAGGAAGTACAAAATTGTCTGGTTATGTCACTCTTCCCCTTACACAGGGCTATTGATTGGCTAAGGAAATCAGATGTAGTCAAGAAGAGTGGTCTCAGTGGCATCGCTCTGTGCCTCAGAGTCATCACTTAATTACATAGAAGATGTAAATTTTACAGTGAAATGTTGTGGTCAGAACTTTAGAGTCTAAAACAATCACTTGTCAGGGCAGAAAAGCTGTGAAAAAATAATAAAGGCGATACAAGGACATTTAAAGACAATACAATACCAACCTCTTGGTACTACTGTCTTCACAGTCACATTATTTGGAGTAGATGACGTGGACCCCATTTCATGATTCATCTCTGTCAAAAGTATAGCATGAGAAAGCTCATTTCAGTTGTTTACTTAATAAAAAATTATTCAACAGTCAAAGAAGAGTGAAACCTCCATTTACACAAAACATGCCTGTCATAACTAATCAGTGGCACTCCTCTGTGTTTAGTTGAAGTCCAGCATTTGTGAGACATGTGAGCACTTTGTCTAATGTTGCACATGGTCAGCAAAAGTAGAGGAAAACATGACGATATCCTCCAAGTAGCAGAGACACGTTTTCCACTTGAGGCCATGAAGAACAGTGTCGATCATTCTTTCAATAGTGGTGGGTGCATTACATACCGTAGGCCAAAGGGCATTACCTTGAACTTTTAAAGACCCCGCCGCGGTGGTCTAGTGGCTAAGGTACTCGGCTGCTGATCCGCAGGGCGCGGGTTCGAATCCCGGCTGCGGCGGCTGCATTTCCGATGGAGGCGGAAATGTTGTAGGCCCGTGTGCTCAGATTTGGGTGCACGTTAAAGACCCCCAGGTGGTATACATTTCCGGAGCCCTCCACTACGGCGTCTCTCATAATCATATAGTGGTTTTGGGACGTTAAACCCCACATATCATCAATCATTGAACTCTTAAAGACCGTCTGGCATGGTGGAAAAGTCAGTCTTTTCTTTGTCCACTTTGCCCATCAGAATTTGCCAACAAGTCAAGAAGTATTGTGCACTTTGCAACAAGTCAAGTGGGTCATCTATACGGGGCATTGGACATTTATCCTTGTGGGTGATCTTGTTGAGCGCAGGATAGTCAACACAATATCATACCGATCCATCCTTCTTTTGCACCAAAACAACGGACGATGACCAAGAGCTGGCAGAGGGTCGAATGATGTTTTTCTTTAACATGTCGGTTCCGTTCTCCTCAATGATTTTGCGCTTGGCCAAGGAGACTTGGTAGGAACGACGGCATACAACACTCTGACCACCAGTGTCAATACGATAAGAGGCAACTGTGGTCTGTCCGAGTGCCGACACATTGGCGACGAATGAGGCCTGACGCAACACGCTGAGAAGCAGGAACGTCAGGATTTATCCCGGCAGCAAAAGTAGGGGAAGTAATAGGCTTGCCCTGTTGTGGCTGAGCTGGCAAGCGCCAGCACGTCTTGAATATACGAGGTGCAAGAATCGTAATAATGTTGAATGCATTCAGCCAGTTTCTTCCGCGCAACTTCCAAATGAATGGTCAGTGTGCCAGAAATCTGCTGCACCTGGTCTTTGTAAGAACACCAATCACGGAAGTCCCTCACCTAATTCAGGAACCCTGTTTTGGCTAATTGAGATACATAAAACTGGACGCACTATAACTTCAATGCCTCATTCCAGTAGTTGCAAATGCTGACATTGTCGTAGGTGTCGAGCCACTCCTCAACATATTTTCTAGGCAGACTGGAGAAGATTGGAGGCTCCCGGGGTTATTGTCTGGGTTAGGGTTTGCGGCAGGGTGGTTGAAAAATGGGTTGCTACCATTAGTTCACCTTGCCACGTGGTGGTCTGCTGGCTCAAAGGGGCCCTGCAACACTTTTTGAGCATGGTCAGAAAACACTGCCGATCAGTAAAAGAGGCTCCTGACAACACGCAAGCCAAATATTATGGCACAGCATGCAACCTGAAATTCACAATAAATGATCAAACTCAGCTAAAAATTGCTTTCTCGGCTCTCGACAAATCACGTTATATGCCCAAAAATCACACGTCAATGACCCATCTATATCAGCTATCAGCTGATTTAAACATAATGTGTTCACTTGTTAAAGAGATCGCCGCGAGAGGCCGCTACTTGTCCACGCGTGCGTGCAGGATCACACTGGGCATTCGAAGAAAAAAAAAGAAAAAAAGTGCTCAAGGTCCCGAAGCGCGCGTGATGTTTTTTCTGTGGCCCTGCCATCCCACCTTGCATAGCTTCCAGCGCTTTCGTCGGGACGAGAGAAGAGAGAACGCAATTGCAACATGCGATAAACTTTTCCAACTCCGCTCTTACAAAACCGATTCTCAAAATGTTTGCGGCGTTGAATTCGTGAGGCAATAAGCTTTTCCAGTGAATTCATTCCATGGTTACTTGAAACAGTGTTTCAGGGCCCCTTCAATTAAGCAGCGTCTCAACAGAGCTCCAAGAGAGGTCGTTGAATGAAGAGAGGTCAAAGGGATCGTCAAGCACCTCCACCACTTGAAATAACACTGTTCCACCGACGCTTTATTCCAGAATAACAAGACGGCACCAACGACGAAGACGGACGATGCAAAAATTTATGATAGTTATTTACAGGCGAAGACGATAAAGTCCAATATATGCTTACAATATATAAATGTATGAAAGCAGACAGTCATATGCTAGATATTGAAAGCTGTCTAACTATTTCCAAAGAACCTACTTTCTATGTCTAGAAGGTATTCACTGATGAGGCGTAGCCGCCAGAAGGGCCCTCCTTCTGATGGGCAATTGTCTGTAGGATTCTCTCGGTCTACTTCAAATACAGTCACACAAAAGTCATGTTCAAAGCCAGTCATATAAGACATCTGAAAAAAAAAAAAAAAGTGAAGTTCATAAGGAAAAGTCAACAACCATTAACCACTTGGAAAAGATGAATTTACGAGTTCAAGGACCCCACTTCATTACAACTAACATGACACTGAATGAGTGATTAGATGGCAATACTCTCACAATCATGAAACACTTGACGCATTTTTATTGCATTTGGACAGCGCACAAGAGCTGTAGGTAAACAAAAGATGTTTCTTCAGCTACAAAATTATCCTTCTTAAGCATACATGCAGGAACACACACCAAAAAGACATACACAACTAAAGGTGCTTACAATCTTCTGCTAACGTTTTTGATGTTTCTACTGATTTAAGAATTGTGGAGGGTGCATAGGTTCAAAATACTTATAAAAGCTGTAATAATAGGCCTCAATTTTTTTTACCTTGTGCTGAATGAAAACCTTTCCTTCATACGTCAATATATTGGAATCATCAGAAGTGTAGCGGGTTTCATAGAGATTGTTGCCATTCTTTGATGTTGTTCGGCAAGCCTGGAAAAAAGCAGATGCACATAAAGTAAGTGTTGCTTGTATTAATTAACCTTCTAGCAGACTTTTCATAGGTCTTTATAAACTTCCCCTTAATTTTTTTACATGTGTTATCAGTTATGCAGCTGGCAATGCAAATTTCGCACCCCATGCTTATTTTCCATAAGCATTATAAAGCAGTGCATATGCACCAATAAAATGATATGAACAAAGAGGGTAGACAAAGAAGCATTTATGTTTACGTCCTAGATATGTGCCCAAACAAAAAGCTGTAGAACAGTCGGGCGCTCATGTCTTGATAACATATGACAGTTTAACTCACAAAAGAATCGCACAATTTTCGCTGATATAGTTTTGAATTTGCATGAACTGTTTTACATTCAGGGTAAGTCGTCCAGAGTGATTGTTGCTGTAGTTGCACCAAACACGGGAATTTAAATCGACTCGCCTCATTTTGAAGGTAAAAATATTTCAACATATCCAAATAATATGAAAGGATGGCAGTACGCTTAGCTAACGATGATTTCTGCAGGACATTGCTAAGCGATCAAAAGCACGTGTTCAAGCACCCATGGTGACGCTCCGAGAAACAAGGAATAGCTTTAGATGCAGTAAAAAAAAGCACAGACATGGCAAATTGCCTGCCAAAATAGACCGATGAAAGAGAACAAACCTCTGCGTAGTCAACCCAGTGCTCTTCATCACACGAATCTCCAGAGTAGCCCGGCTGCACCAAATGAAATTTTCGAACTGCAAGGTTAAATGTGACACAGGGGACAGTCACATTTTGGGACTGCTGCACAATTTTGCTCTGGAAAAAAGAAATCACCACATGACATGGGTCTTGCACGAGCAACACTGCACTCTTAGCTTAAATTGCAAACTTAAATAAATAATACAGAAAAAGATGTAATATCAACCACTGCAATTTAGCATAAGAGCAACTCAATGTACCAACCATCTTTGTAGTGTCACTTTCCTTATGAGGCCTGGAGGGAAAGCCCACTTTGCAGGGTGTCTCGGGCTGTCTGATATTGGTTATAAGGACTAGGAAGTGTGCCTTCCTGAAAAAGGATAAACAATTTATTTAGCCACAAGTTGTATACATAGACATATGATAGCACACTTAGTGAGTGTTAATAGTTATTATTAAAGAATACAGTAAAATATTTCAGCAGATAAAGCTTTATGTAGGAAGTTGGCTTTAAATACCATTATATGTAGTGCAAAAAACATGGACACAGAAAATCAGTGATCAGTATTACACAGCACTTAGCCGGTGTGCTTCTTTTCTTTTTCCGTGTTTTTTGTGATGGGCTCTTATCAACCCAGCCAGCAAGACACACTCTTTAAATAAAATCAGAATAGCCTGCACAGCAGATAGAGAATCACTACTTGAAACATAAATGCAGTGAAAGAAGTTAGTGGCTCACATTAGTATGGCCACTCTGCTTACTGCCTTTTATAGTCAAGTAGTGCAATTAGCCACGAGACACGCGTCCCGTAATTAAAAAAAAACTGAGTGTACTGAGAGTGTTTCATAATGAACACAAAAATGCATATCGGCACACCGTGATAGCTTCATACACTGAAAATTGCAACATTAAGTTGAAAGATGCGTGCTTTTCACGATGTCATTAGTATCCTATGATAAAAATATATTAAAATATTGCCCCAGATGCACTTACCCAGTGAATGCCTCACTCAAGACAGTCTTGTACGGACTTTTCATATCTATGCCAACAACAAGCACGAGTTCTGCTTGGTCTGTGCCAAACTGCTTTGAAAGCCTCTAAAACACCAAGAAACGAAGCCGTGTATCATTCATTTAATGTTTATGAGACTAGATAACACAAACAACATTGTATTACAGACTGTTAGCCTGACCAGTCAGACATACTTATATTGTTATTGTCATACCATCTCTTCTAAAACCAACTTGGATGCCAATAGGATGAGGGTCTGGTAGGAGACACACTGGTGGGACACATATATATGGCAACACTAGAATTATTAAGCAGGCCACATGTACTCAGCAGAAGTAACAACTTGTCAGTAATCTTCGGCTTCTTTGCTCAACAGTTTCAGTCTACGGATGAACATTGTACTTCCCACGTGAATACAATATTAGTAGTTGATATGGTCTATGAGGTGATTTATAAAAGCCACTCTGTTGCGGCTACCAATTTGGAAGTGAAAATTTACCACACACATACCACACTTGGAAGTGAAAACTGCCATTAGGTCTATAGGACAAAATAAAATTGCTTTCACATGCTTCTGTTCTCAACACTCACCAAATAACTCTAATAAGACGATTTATGTAGAACAAATTTTACGACAGCATGCCACATGTCACATGGGTTTTTCAAAGTGGTGCTGAAAAGGCAAGCTTGTCAATGTAACACTGTCCGAGTCATATGGGCTTATGCAAACCAACCGCATTTCATTCTGGAATTGGCACAGCATGACACTTGAATTCATAGTGCACACTGTTCACCTTGCTTGCGCAGCATTTTTCCCTTTACCCAAAGGAATTCAAATCTTGGGAGGGATTAGCAACTGCACACAACTTAATGTATTCCATAAGCTGAAAGCAAGCAGTTGCTTTTTTCTAATTACATATGTTTAAGCAACTTGGGTACCTAAACACTGGCAGTGTACAACATTTTACTTTTCAAGGCAAAGAATATCAACAAGCAAACTAGGTTTTTTCTCACATCTGCTAAGTCGGGCCACTCGTCAGACTCATTCACGTCCTTCATAAAAATTGCGATTCCATTCAAATCATAGTTGTGAACCCAGTCAGCCAGTTCCTGTAGAGCATTCTTATGTGCAGTGCCTTTGTCTGAAGGATCGATGCTGCGGCTATCAACTTCAGCCAAAAGTGAAGGCCTCCCTCCTTTTTTCATGGCCAAATAGTTCCGGAAAGCTTTTTCTGCAAATAAAAAAATTTATTATTAGTTTTTTTTATTACAAGCCCAAGTTTCACAATACATTCAGCGCAGTGCCTTAACGTAGAGTAAACCATTTCCTATTTTGGAGAGGGGTGTGTAAGTGTGCCAACCGTACAGCTTTCAAATAAAAAGAAGCATATTTATGCATGCGCAGTTGATGACGTCTCTGTCGGACCCTATATAGGTATGCAGTTTTCCCAACAGAAGTTGTTGCAAGTTCAGGACTCATCCTTGTCGTTTTCATTTTATCCATGTGTTTCTTGCGCTGCAGCATGTTGTAAATGCATTTGTTTCAATTTTGTGAGCCTCTCTATACTGAATCACAATTATGGAAGTATTATGTTAAATGCGACTGCTTTTTTAAAATTATTCGATACAAAAGTTTGTAAATAACGAATGGGTACCAGTAAATTGATAAGATTATATCTCAAAATCTCTGATGCCTTGACATTATGTATAATAAAGAGCTGAGACAAAGCCTTGATGTGTGAAATAGTAAAATCAGACAGCATAGGAGTGTAGGCCTAGCCAGCTTGAACTGCAATGCCCAGCTTGACCTTCTCCTGCTTAGCATTGACGATGCACTTCTTTTTCATCTGATGTTTTCCCTGCGCTAAGGACGAAGACAGCTAGGTGTCCTAAAATCTCGTGAGGACACAGGGTTTGTGATACGGTTTGAGGCGATCACCGTGAATAGTTTCGCGGCCTTAGCGACACAAGTCCACAGTGGGCGTGAGGGGTTTGATGAAGTCTAGTTGACAAGAGAAGTTTGTAGGACACGTTAGGGTCCATGGTACCTGACGAGGAGCTTTGAAGAGATACCTGGCGTAGAAGTGGGAGGCACCCACAACTAAACAAGAGAGTTGGTCAAAAACTGGTTGTGGGGTCATCTATCATTTTGCTAAAATTGCTGTAGTCCTTGTTCTTGTGTTGTAAAGAAGCAAGCTAATTTACAATATTTTTCTGCATAATGAGCAGCTTTGGAAACTGATGTGCCCTCAGATGAGTCAGGTTGGTAGGAAACATGAAGCTGTACCCATATACTGTTTCAAAGTAAACAATTATGATTGATTAGACAACTTTAATACTTGACAAGCTCTTACCACTTGCGGCAATGTATGAGCGACCTCCCTTGTCATAGGACACCGATGAATAGACAAGATGAGTGCAGAGAGGATCGCTTAGGAAATGCAGTGTATCTACAGATGTTGTTACACAAATTAAGGCATCTGAAAAAATGATTAAAAAAAATTAAATCTTGCTACAGATGTACAACAAAGCACACAAATAGAATGTGGAGCATGCATTACCTACTGTTATTTCAGTTTTACGGTGCCTATACTACTCACGTTTCTTTTTAGTGTGATGACTTGGGCTTGCCGGCACCGAAGCCTGTGTAGAAGCCTCTGTGTTCCCTGTATGTAGAAAAGCATGCATGCTGAAAGTGTTCAACTAGTGCTTCACTGAAACTGCAAAAATTTGAAGTTCTTCCAAGGATTCAATAGGCTGCCATATGCAGAAATTCTTTAAATATGATGAATAGAAACCATGATATTCTACTTTAGTTTAATCACAACATTTTGTGGTCTATAATGTACTTAACAGCCAATTTCAGTTGCCTCTTTAAAATGGGAGAACAGCCAGTAGTAGTAGTAGTAGTAGTAGTAGTAGTAGTAGTAGTAGTAGTAGTAGTAGTAGTAGTAGTAGTAGTAGTAGTAGAAAACTTTATTATATACATAATCCAGACAGGCTTGAACTCCAGTGCCCCGAAGAATATACGGGGTGGAGAGCGAAGTCTGTCCGGCAGGGTGGTGCCAGTAGTAATTATACTTTTTATGACACCATTTATTATGTGTTGAAGCACCTGAATTTGAAAAGATATCCTGGGGAAAAATAAAAACACCCAAGCAATGATAACATGCTTCCATGGCAAGTTTAAAGAAGAAGCTTCGTAGCACTCACTGCCAGTGACATTTTTCGGGTGCAAAAGACTTCTGATCAGTGACAGCCGTGGCAAGGGCTGTTCATTTGCTGCACATTCTTTATTTGGGTCATCAAGGTCCACTCGAAAGGCTGCAACACAGAGGTCATCTACTTTTTCGTCCAAAATTGACACCTGTCAAAAAAAAGACAATAGGTTGAAAATAATCACAAAAATTAGTTTTGCTCACTGGGTTGTGAATTTAATGCATCAGTGCGTGAAAAAAAAAACTCACCGTGTGTTCTAACGACACTGTTCCTTCGTAAGACACAACTTGATGCTTTCCAGGCAAGTACTTAATTTCAGTCAGAGTGCTATTTTGCAGTGGATGGTCAAGTGTGGCATTGCAAGCCTTGAAAAAGAATGCAACAATGCAGCAAGAATAAACACAAGGTGAAATTCGTAACATTGGTAAATGTTTTAACTATTTCCAAGAATATGTAATAGTTATTATTTGCTAATATATCTACAATGCCAGCATCAATAGCCTGCTACAGCCACTTTGAAAAGGCAAACGGAGAAGCAAAACTCTTAAAAGGCAGTTTTTTCTACATTCTCTAGCCTCCAATCATATTTAAAGAAGTCAAATATAAAAATCATGCTGTTTTTATTTGTTACAACATATACTTCAAAGCAAATACTTATATTCATGGCCTATACAGAAGGAATACTAGGATCGATAAACATTTTAACGGCAATCTTTAGAGTCAGAAACCATGTGATGCGACAAATCAGCAATATCTAGTGCATACAAGCTTCGTTACCTAGTTATAACATAGAACTCACTGCCATCTTTGGTTGAATTAGAAATTTTCATGCACATAACATACCGATTAAAGCATGTATTTTTCTTGGCACTTGTTCTGTTACACTACGAGACCGCTAATTAAGCACGCCTACACAGCATACCCTGCCTATCTTTACTTCAACTTGTTTGTTTCTTGTTCACCGATACTGTTGACACTAGAAGGAAGGGTCATTACAGGAATGAATAAACAATCAAACACAGTTCAATAAACAAAACACACATGCAACATAAATGCTAACATGATTTCAATGGCACTGCTTGTGTCATACGTATTCAAAAAACAGTAAAAGGAGAAAAGAAAACAAAACAACACAAATGCACTCGTCACGACCACAGCATGACGGTAAGGTTTAGTGGTTGGAAACACCAAGTGACCCGAATAGACAAGTGCACGTAGCTCGTTTAAGAAAGCAATAATAGAAGTAGAGAAAACCAGTAATTCAGGGAGCATGTTTCATTAATTAATTACTCATAATTTCACATAAAGCATAACCTGCATGTATTAGCTCATCCATGTTAATCTGGCTATATACCTATACCCCTCTTGCTCTTGGTCGGAATAAATATAATGAAATAAATAAAGAAAACAATTTTTGTAACCTGAGGCCAAGAACCAAAATTTCTCTGACCTAGGTCAACATAAAACTTCAGTGCACAGTTTGAGAGCATTTTCACGGTTGTACATCCTTTGATCCTTCTATTTCAGTAGAAGTAAACCTGAATATTGGGGAACAGTATCTGAATTCAGACAATGCTTGTGTCATGTTTCTATCAAAATGACATAGCAACACAATTAAAGAAAGAAAAGTGACAGCATTAAGCAGAGTAAGTATATTACCATAGCATAATTCTGTAGAGATTCCTTGGTGCAGATTTCTGTCTCTCTTCTCTTAGTTACGAGAAATGACCGCACAGCCAAGTTGACAGAAAAGCAGGCGGTGGTCTGGCCTCTTGATTCCCACCAGAGCTGAAACTGCAAACAAACATTACATTTAATTTTAAATTATTAATGAGTAACTTTCCTTGATCACCAGTAGTGATAATGCTAAATTGATAATCTCTTGTTTCTATAACAGTAAGTCTGCAAGTTGGAAGATCGTCCAGTTAAATAAATAACAGAATGCTGTCAGAAGAAAGTGGCATTACCAACAGCAGCAAAACGTGCAATACCTCCCAGGTGTTTTCTATCAACATTGTGGACATCAGAATGATGACATTATGGAGACAATATCTATATATTAGATAATATAAGAGCAGCTCCATCTTATAAAATAAGGAACTGCACATGTTTTGCTTTGCACTGCTTATGAAACTGACCCGAGTATAGCATTACATCCTGTAAATGCAAGGCACATTAAAAGATACGACTCACAGCAAATTTGTAGTCTGATTCCTCATAAGCCCGAGACGGGAAGTCCACAGCACATATTGCAGGAGGCTCTCGTAGATGTGCCATCAAAATCAAGAAGTCACAGTACCTGAAAATCATTGCACTGTAGCATGCCTTTCCTACTTTCTGGTACGTAACTTGTGTACTCACCCAGCAAATTCACGAGGAATGCGCATCTCAAAGGGGTTAATATGGTCGACACCAACTATCAGTTTGAGTCTTTCATCAGTGTTCTGAAAGTGTGTGTATATATCCTGCACAAATTGAAGTAGAAAGTTGTTACAACCTTAGGTTAATACAAGGTGGTTACATTTGTATTCTGCTGCATTCCTAAATTTTGAAGCAGTTTAATATTTTCAACAATTCAAGGCCAGCAGGACCCCTTATAATTTTGCTCATGTAGATAAAATATATAACCATGTTTTTATAACTCAGCAAGCTACGAAAAGGCTTATGCACCCTTGCACCTTTAGCTTGACAGAATTATTCCTTTAATTTCTACATTTCAGCTGTTAAGCAAATTTCCTGAGGTAGCTGCACAAACAGCATTGAATATAAGCTTTGTATCAATTCTTAAATCTGATGCACAATTGAACTCGGTTATCGGTATGTGACTGTCCTTTGCTTTCAGTCGGCAGCCTTTCTGCATACAAAATTCTTTATGCTACAAAGAACAAGAGCTGAATGTTGCCCTTGTTCCTGTTTTATCAACGTCATATATATTTCAGGGTGCCTCTTTCCCACTACACAGCTTCCAGACTGACATAGGTTATGAGTAAAGCTACATGAATTACCTGAACAGTGGCGATTAGGTTGCTCATGTCATTCTGGCTATTTTGAGCAAACAGAGCTATTCCTTTCAGTCTGTTTGCTTCAATCCATGTATCCAGGCTTTTCATAAAATGCTCAATATCAGCACCGTGCAGCATATCAATGGTGAGAGAGTCCACCTCGACAATAAAATAAGGTGCTCGATCGCTGTTACGCGATATGAAATTCTGGAAGTCTTGGTCTGGAAAGAATGACACAAAAGATGAACATGTATATATATTACTGCAGAGAGCATGCATGACAATGAAATGCATACTTTCCTTGCTCTAAACTAAGTACATGCAAAAAAAAGTTCAATCTCTACATTCCTGTTTTTTCACAGGTATTTTACTTGTTAATTGCAACTTCAGGTTTTGCCACCAGTCTGATCATGCAAGAAGCATATACAGTCCACATATTATCAGTTAATCAGCCTCATAAATCAGTATAGCTGCTCTTTGATTCATGACTGACATTAAAGGATTATTCTTATACAAATAATTGGGTGTATGCATCTTCTAAACATAAATTTATCACCATTTCTAAAAAGTTCGAGTTGCCTAGTGCATGTTTCTTTCAAATGAAAAAAGTTGAAGTAGGAGACAAAATCAAGTGCATAACAATGCTTATGCTTGCCTGTGTTAGCGTTCACAATTACCATAATTACTTGAATCTAACGTGCACCTTTTTTCCGGTTAAGCGAGTTCATAAATCACATGCGCATTAAAATCGAGTGTGAAAAAAAAAAAACGAATACGGTCATTCTATTGCCATCGGCATTTCCAAAACGGCCGCCCTCTACGTGCTTCGGCATGACGCGTCTAGGTGTTCTGTGGCGCGTCGGCCATTTCTGCCTATAAGTTTCCCATGTGCGGCACTTCCTTCGTACGTGTGCTGAGGAGTTCGTCATCTTGTTGTTTTTTAGCATCGACGGCATGAAAGGGCCGACTCCAGAAATTCGACGAGTGCACCACGATGCGGCTTTTAAAAGAAAAGTCATCGCATGTGCCGAAACAGACGGAAATCGGGCCGCATCGCGGTCGTTCGGAGTTCCTGAAACGTGCGTGTGGGACTGGCGGAAACAAAAGCAGAAGATTGTCAAAGATTCATGCAAATGCTTCAGTGGACCACAGCAGGGTCAGTCTCCGCAAATTGAAGAGCTGCTCGCCGAGTATGTGCTTGAGCAGCGAGCGGTACAGCAGCCCGTGACGACAGAACTGCTCTAAGTGCGAGCTATGCAGTTAGCTTTAGAAAAAGGGCTAACGCGGAGCCAGTTCAAAGCGAGCAGGTGCTGGCTAACTAACTTTATGAAGAGGAAAGGCTTTTTCCTCCGAAAGCGAACGTGCATGCGCCAAAACTTGCCGGAGGAGTACGAAGAAAAGCTTCACAGTTTTCAGAGGTTCGTCCTAAACTTGCGGCACAACAACGGCTACCTGCTTGGGAAAATCGGGAATGCCGATCAGACGCCTCTTTACTTCGACATGCCTGGTACCACAACCGTTGAGAAGAAGGGGGCGAAGCAAGTTCGCATGCTGACATCGGGCCACGGTAAAACAAGAGTGACGGCAATTCTCCGTTGCACGTCAGATAGGCACAAGCTTCCCCCCGTACCTCATATTTAAACAAAAGACGCTCCCGAAAGGAGTCGTTTGCCCAAGTAGTGTGATCGTGCGGGCCAATGAGAAAAATGGGTGCGCGTTGCAATCAATGTCTTACTTTTTTTTTTTCGTCGTGAAAACCGAGTGCGCGTTACAATCTAGGGCATGGTAGAATCAGTTAAGTTGTTTTGCCAATTATGATTCTGCAAGTCCTTCCCTAATTCACCAGCCAGCAAAAGCTAGTTCTGATACGAAATAGCAATAGTATGTTCGTGCCTGCTTACAGACTTTAGGGGAGATGCAGACCCAAAAATATGAGTTTTCTAAAAAATTAGCAATTTTTCCTTTTAACCTGTTTTGTTAAGATTGATATCTCTACTGTTCTAAAAAAATAAAAATATTTGTTGACAGTTAACTGGAAATGCTTTAATATTGAATCTAAAGAGCCTAAAGTGGCTGTTAAAAGGCTGAAAGTGCGCAGTCTTTGAGCACCTTGCCACTGATAATGCACCGCCGCTCGCCATTGTCGATTCCATAAGCAGAGCGCCGAGCTTTGATCGCTCTTCAAATAATGACAGTTTCCTGAGCGTCTGCAGCACAAGAAATAATAAAAAACAGCACGCTTTTGCTGCATTTTGCGAGTGCTGCAACTGGCTTATAAGTAACGTGGTACGATCGGGGATCCCCATTGGCAGCTGTGTGTGCTGTGAAGCCTACTAGAGGGCTCCTCTCTCGTCAAGCAGCCCAGCTGAACAACGCTTTATTCGTGCATTATCTGCATTATGGATGAAGAATGGCATAGCTCGCACAGTAGCTACGCTGTCAACGTGGAAGCTGTTGTGAGGGTGCGCTCTGCTACGAGCAGCTAGTCCGATTTACAGCAATTCTTGGCTTTCAAAAGCCAATACATCATAGAGCATTCACAGTCTGGGATGCAGCAATGAATGCCATCTGCGCCAATCTTGCGAGGTCGAGAGAACTCACAGTGAGGAAAGTTGACAGGGACGACATTGCTGTTATGTACGACGATACGTGGCAAAAACACGGCCACAAGAGTCACAATGGCATCGGCACTGCTGTGTCCCTCGACACTAGACTTTGTTTAGATTTTGAAGACCTGTCAAACTTCTGCCTAGCTAGCAGTCAGCACAAGGCTCTGCCAGATGGAGCGGACAAAGTTTGGCAAGCGTTTCATGGCCCTGCCTGTGAGTGAAATGTTCGTGCGGAGTCAGCTTGAAAGAGCCGCAAGAAACAAATTTACAATGTTGGCCCGTTTTAGTGGCAGGTCACTACAAAAAGAATTGTTCTTTTTTGTGTGCAAATTTCATTGCATTTATTGCCATCATTCATAAATAAACATTCAATTTTAACTTTAAAACTCGTTGCTCAAAATGCAAATTTAGCCCCCCTTTTGTTTTTTCAATGTGCCCCTCCTTTTTCGGATACTTCTGGTGGTCGTATTTCCATGAAATATTGCCCAAATTTTTTACAAAGTACTAGAAATGCAACTATGTTGTTTAAACTTCAATATTTTTAGTATATAGACTTCCCACATTGAAATATTTCACATGTATTACATATTTTGTATGCACTTCCCAAGTAGTTTTTTACATTCTACACATTATTTGAAGCATTATAAACTATCAATGCTAAAAAATTATGCAAGTCTAAGGATAAAAAGAGGGGGGCAAATGCCTTAAGGTTTTCACTGTGTCATGTTCCAGAACTCAATGTATGCAACTTGCAAGAAAACTAATATATATTTGAAATCAGCATGCAAGGTTCTATAAATAGTTTAAGTTTCATTGTTCTGGGGTGAAGAGTGAAAAAAAAAAAAAAGGTTCTTCATGTAACATCTCCCATTAGCCTTACTCTGATATTGTTGATATAAAACTAAGTATGGCCAGCACCACCACACAATCTCCCCCTCTCTCTCTTCCCCCCACATTATTTGCACTAAAGTGCATCGTACACCAGGCACAATAATCCCCTTACCCCCCCCCCCCACTTCCTACTTTCTTTTTCTCCCTCATGTACATTAAGCCAACATTACATTAACAGGTAAACTAATATACTAACCATCTGTGGGCACAAACTCATGGCCAGCATCATTGTACTTGACAAAGCTATAGATGACATAGTCACATAGGTTTCTTGTGAGGTAATTTACAACACCACGTGCTTTATGGGTAAGACAGATGAGGCTGCCTGAAAAATCAAATGAAAACAAATTGCATAGAACGGTCTTGAATAATCAATGTAGTGATTAAATCTGTTAATTCTACATGGTTGTCAAAATCAAAAGAACATCACATGTCTAATTAACACATTCACAAACACTCCTGCAATTTCAATGCACTATAACTAGCTTAATGTTCCGATTTCTCTGCTTTCTAATAAATTCTCTCTCTTATTAACGGGGCAGACTGGTCTTTGGGACCAAAAAGTGACAAGAAAATTCATTTTTTGAAAATTGACATGTTTAGTTTCGGCAAGTATTTTTCTATCTCTCTGCAAATTTTCAGACACGAGGGAGTGGTAATTTTTTTGTAATGTCATTCTAAATGTCCAGATTCTTGGTGCTGTCAACATGCAGAACCTGCACAAAAATGGGGAACCGATTTCGAGGCTTCTTTATAATTTCCAGCACCTGTGTTAGAAGCTCTGCTACGAATTTATGAGCACCTTTATGAGGATTGCAAAACATGTGCACCATGATTATTGCTTTTTGAAGAAGCTGTGTGTTTTCAGTTTTTTCCAATTTTCTCAAGAACGTAGTGAACTTTTTTTTTCTCTGACGACTTTAAACAATAGGGGTTGAATTTAAGTTATCTGAGAAACAAGATGAGTGATAGGAAGACTAATTAAATATTTGAAATCAGCAGAAAAAACTGCATAACCCTGTGCGCTTTGATCAAGATCACTGAAGAAATAAACAAAACAATGTCTAAGACCAGTCTGCCCTCTTAAATTCTGTTTTGCACATGTATATGCCATGCTTACATGATGTGCTCTGGCCATTTAAATTGAATAAATGACTAAAAGTCAATAAATTTTCAAAAAAAAGTCCAACATTTAATTAAAAGATATAAGAAACAACTGTGGTCTTACGAGTGGCACCATGATTTGGTGTTCTTGTTGTTTTTGAGCCTGAAAAAAAAGGAAAAAAAGACACCAGTTCATTAGAAAGTGCTTTGTTTTTTTATGCTTCAAATATTGTGCACTTTATGTTGAGCTGATTACATTACCATGAGTTGAAGGAGACTGTGTAGCAGCAGGTTCTGAAAAAAATATATATATACACCTCAGCATCATTGGTTTGATTAGCACAAAAATCCCGGCAAAACTAACTTCAGAAAGCCTGCTGATTATATATATTCATAATAGACAAGGCTAGCCTCACCATAAAATTTATGCAACAATGTAAATGTTTCCCTTAAATACCAGTAAACCCTGCATACTGACAGAAGCCATCTTTATTTTTTTTTCTCACTTACTTCAATGAGCAATGAATAATTAGCAGTCCCTATCATCACCATGGCTGCTCTATACGTTGACCTTCAAGAGTTATGAGAGCCCCAATGAAACTTTATGGGTCTTTGTATTGTGCATCCTGAGTAGTTATACGGTATGAGAAATCACTGGTGTACTTGATAGCTGTCAAAAAAACCAGTGTAGTGTTTTTTTACTTTAACACTAGTAACACAGCATGTAAAACTGGAAAAAGACAGAGACAGAGTATAAAGAGCGCTTCTTACACACTCTCTGTCGTCTTTTCCAGTTTTGCATGCTGTTGCATGTGTCGAAATGAACCAACTAGCCCAGAAAGCCACCATCCTTCTTAATTTAAACCCCCCCAGTAATGTTACTTGATAAGTTTAAGGAGCAAAAAGCCAAGTCAAAATAAGTACAGTGCTTTGTCAGTGCAAGTAAACATTCCCAGCAATAAAGTGATTAATATTTTTCGACTTGAAGATGTGAAGCAGCATTAAATTCAATAAATCATAGACTTTTATTGACAAGCTGGTGTCTGAGATGCAGGGGGCTGGATTTTAAATTCTTCACCTTGCATGGTAATTATAATACAGAAGTGCTCAACTGTACAAAGGTGCAATTGTGTACAAAATGAATGCATCTCGCAGCTGGGAAAAGTTATACGAGTGGCTTCTGGTGATTCCAGGCAAATAGTCAATCTGTCAGATTTCAAACAAATCTTTCCAGCAGAGTATGCTGCAGTGATGTTATTTAATGGAATTAGTTCTAATAGTTGTCAGTTACAGGGCATAGTCCAAATTTATTGAGTTTTAAATTTTAACACTGGTTGGGAACTGCCGCGCAGTTCCCAACCGGATTAAAAAAAAAATCCGCGTGTTGATGGAACTGCATTAAGAGGCCTGGGGTGCGGCCTCACCGGTAACCACCAACGGGAACGCACTCCCTCAACAGAGAAGGATTGGCCACCCTGGTGCAGTATCTGGTCACTACCTCCCACATGCATACGTCAAATAACTCACGACCCTCAGTCCCCAGCAGCTGTGAAGCAACTGACCACGGCGGCGGTCAGATCTGCAACGCAGCAGAGGGTGCTAAGAATCTCTGGATCCGGACAGGCCGCCATTGAAACATGAACTTGGCAACGTTTAACGCTAGAACCTTATCTAGTGAGGGAAGTCTAGCTGTACTATTCGAGGAGCTAGAGGGTGTTAAATGGGATATAATAGGGCTCAGTGAGGTTAGGACGACAGATGAGGCCTATACGGTGCTACAGAATGGGCATGTCCTTTGCTATCGGGGCTTGGCAGACAGAAGAGAACTGGGAGTGGGGTTCCTAATTCACAGAAACATAGCTGGCAACATAGAGGAATATTATAGCATTATTGAAAGGGTCGTAGGTATCGTAATTAAACTAAATAAAAGATACAAGATGAAGGTGGTACAGGCTTACGCGCCTACATCCAGCCATGATGACGCTTCAGTTGAAAACTTCTATGAAGACGTGGAATCAGCAATGAGTAAGGTAAAAACACAGTATACTATAGTGATGGGCGACTTTAATGCAAAGGTGGAGAAGAAGCAGGCTGGAGACCAGGCAGTACGAGATTATGGCATCGGTACTGGAAACGCCAGAGGAGAGCTACTAGTAAAATTCGCAGAACGCAATAATTTGCGGATTTTGAATACCTTCTACCGAAAACGAGAAACCCGCAAGTGGACATGAAGGAGCCCTAATGGCGAAAATAAGAACGAAATAGACTTTATAATGACTGCACACCCAGGAATCGTGCAGGATGTGGAAGTGGTTGGCAAGGTACGATGCAGTGACCATAGAATGATACGGTCTCGACTTCGCCTAGACTTGAAGGAACGACAGAAACTGATACGCAAGAAGCCAATCAATGAGCTAGCACTGAGAGGGAAAGTACAGGAATTCAGAGTGTCGCTTCAGAACAGGTACTCGGCTCTTAGTGAGAAAACCAACCTTAGCGTATATACAATGAATGATAATTTGACGAGTATCATTACGGAGTGTGCAGTGGAAGTTGAAGGCAGGGTAGTTAGACAGGACACTGGCAAGCTTTCCCAGGAAACGAAAAACCTAAATAAGAAGCGTGAAATCATGAAAGTCTCAAGTACAACAGACAAAATAGAACTGGCAGAGCTTTCGAAGTTGATTAATAGGCGTAAGATATGCGATGTAAGAAGGTATAACATGGAGAGAATTGAACACGCTCTGAAAAATGGAGGAAGCGTCAAAGCAGTGAAGAGAAAACTTGGGATAGGCAGAAGTCGAATGTATGCACTAAGGAACAAAGAAGGCAAAATAACTACCAATATGGATAGGATAGTTAAAATAGCGGAGGAGTTTTACGGAGATCTGTACAGTAGCCGAGACAACCACAACCTTAATACTATAAGAACTAGCAGTAAGCCAGATGACACCCCACCAGTAATGACAGAAAAAGTCAGAAAAGCTTTGGAGAGCATGCAAAGAGGCAAAGCTGCTGGTGAGGATCAGGTAACATCAGATCTGCTGAAAGATGGAGGACAGATTGTGTTAGAAAAACTAGCCACCCTGTTTACGAGATGTCTCCGGACGGGAAGAGTAGCAGAGTCTTGGAAGAACGCTAACATCCTCTTAATACATAAGAAAGGAGATGACAAGGATTTGAAGAATTACAGGCCGATTAGCTTGCTCTCTGTAGTATACAAGCTATTAACAAAGGTAATTGCTAACAGAGTAAAGAAAACATTAGAATTCAATCAACCAAAGGAACAAGCAGGATTTCGAACAGGCTACTCAACAATCGACCACATTCATACTACCAATCAGGTAATAGAGAAATGCTCAGAATATAACCAACCACTATGCATAGCCTTCATAGATTACGAGAAGGCGTTTGATTCAGTAGAAATATCAGCCGTCATGCAGACACTGCGGATTCAGGGCGTCGATGAAGTATATATAAACATCCTGGAAGAAATCTACAGGGGATCAACTGCTACCATAGTGCTTCATAAAGAAAGCAACAGAATACCAATCAAGAAGGATGTAAGGCAGGGGGACACAATCTCCCCTATGCTATTTACCGCGTGCTTGCAGGAGGTTTTCAGAAGGCTAGAATGGGAACAGTTAGAGATAAGAGTTAATGGAGAATACCTCAGTAACCTGTGCTTCCCCGATGACATTGCATTGCTGAGTAACTCAGGGGACGAAATGCAACTCACGATTACGGAGTTAGACAATGAGAGCATAAAGGTGGGTTTTAAAATTAATCTGCAGAAAACGAAAGTAATGTACAACCACCTCAGAAAAGAGCAGCGCTTCAAGATAGGTAATAGTGCACTTCAAGTTGTAAAAGACTATGTCTACTTAGGGCAGGTAATAACCGCAGAGCCGAACCACGAGATTGAAGTAACTAGAAGAATAAGAATGGGGTGGAGCACATTCGGCAAGCACTCTCAAATTATGACGGGTAGATTGCCACTATCCCTCAAGAAGAAGGTATACAACAGCTGTATCTTGCCGGTACTTAGCTACGAAGCAGAAACCTGGAGACTTACAAAGAGGGTTCAGCTTAAAGTGAGGTTGACGCAGCGAGCAATGGAAAGAAAAATGGTAGGTGTAACCTTAAGAGACAAAAAGAGAGCAGAGTGGATTAGGGGACAAACGGGGGTTAAGGATATCATAGTTGAAATAAAGAAGAAGAAATGGACATGGGCCGGGCATGTAGCGCGTAGACAGGATAACCGCTGGTCATTGAGGGTAACTAACTGGATTCCCAAAGAAGGGAAGCGGGTTAGGGGGAGACAGAAGATTAGGTGGGCAGATGAGATTAAGAAGTTTGCGGGTATAAATTGGCAGCAGCAAGCACAGGACCAGGTTAACTGGAGGAACATGGGAGAGGCCTTTGTCCTGCAGTGGACGTAGTCAGGCTGATAATGATGATGATGATGAAATTTTAACATTATAGGCAGCATTATAAATGCCTCACAAAAGAAACATTAAATTGCAGGATAATGAAAATGAGAAAAGCTTACAAACTGAATCACAGCCCATAACAAATATAAAAAAATCAAACAGTAACACTGTATATAACTCATCAAGGCAGAAAAAATACCGTATTTACTCACGTAATGAACCCACCTTTTTTTTTCAGGAAAGCTGACCCCAATTCGGGGGGAGGATTTATTATGCGGGAGAAAAAAGTCATGGGAGTTATAGCAGCAAAAATTTTGCATGACGGCTTTAATTGTTAAGTCTGCGAAATGTGCGACAAATCTTTTTTGTAGCCCGAAGCTCTTTTTGTTTGCTCCCGTAACTACAGCGCATGGACCGACGCCGAAGTGTCATCCAGCCGCTCGATTCCAATGCTCCAGCGCATGCTGTTTGTAACCAGCTGTGCAGCTAGCGTACCAGCCAAATGCACCCTGCGCAGCAGGTGTCCCAAACGTTCACAATGACAAACCCGACAACAAAAATGCAGTGTCGGATGACGGCATACAAACATTGCAGTATACGTTGCGAGTGTATGACGCGCCGTCGATGCGGTGGGTGCAGTGCGCTTTGCATGGCCTCTGAGATGGCGAGTAAACACGCTGCGTGCTCGCCATCTCAAAGGCCACGCAATTTGTTTCTTGCTTTGTTTTTGTGCCGCTGTGCTTGCGTGGCACTATCAGCAAAGAGGTTTTTCCTGCATTCAACAGATGGCACTTTGCCGGAAAAGGCGCGACTTTCAAATTTTTATTGACGTCATCCGCGCTTGCGCTGCTTGCAACTGTTTAGCATGGTTGCAAAACTGTTTTTACTTATATTGCGTTGTTACTTTGTAATATAATGGCTTGATTTAATGTTGTTTCGATCGTAAATGGCACTGGCTATCATACTGCTTTCATTACGCAAGTAAATATGGTATTTCAATGGCTAAATGACAGAAACAATTAACTTCGATTTAAGATGACAGTGGCAATCAGCAAAGTCATAAATTCCTTAGGCTAAGTCAAGGATGGCTAATACTAAGGAGACTAGGGGGACGCAATGCTTCTAGCTAATACTGACTCAATTTAATACATACTGCAAGGCAGTAGTATTATTTTATATGCATATGCATTACACGTAGTGACAGATCTCTCTTTGTTGCAGAGCATCATTGCAAAATGTACTTATGCAAAGAGCAACCTCTGAAGAACATTTCTGCTTTATGCAAACATTTTTCCCCAACCTTCATCAATTTGCTTTCGAAATTTGCATATTTTGTAGCTAAAAACACTGCCTATAGACAGCATGAAGTATGTTTCCTATGGCAATGTGCTAGCGTGCAAAAAAGTAATGCACTGTATTTGCCTTTTTCAAGTACAACTTTCAGAGTGTGAAGCCTTGAAAATGGCTCCCCCATTGCTGGGCACTTCCCTTCCACATCTTCAAATTCAACATCAAATGCTGCAGCACACAATGTGTCAACTTGGCCAGTCACTTTTGATACCTGTAAAAAAAGGAGCGGCAATGGTTTACATGTTCAGGCTCTGAAAATGTTCCCAACAACTTAAATGAGAACACAGTCTGCTTTCATGTCCCCCATGTGATGCAGTATCATAAGCCACCAAAGTGGCTCCTAATTCAAACTTGGACAATAGAGCTTGCAAAAGTATATTATATGTGCAATTCTAAAGGCCAAGAAACCACCCATCCAATATGACAGCAGAACACATCGATACTCAAGAGCTCTGTCAGAAATGAAAAATCAAGCTCACAATCAGGCATACGATATACCCGAGTGGTGGCAAGAAAAAAAGTTCACAAATTATTAGAACTTGAAAATAACATTGCTAAATGCAGGGGGTGAAATAATGACAGATGAAGAAGTGAGCTAACCACCGCTTGTTAATTGAGAAAAATGAAATAGGCAACCAAGCTCTGCACAGAAGACAGAAAAATGATATCTGCATAGAGATATTGGAAATTGTCGTGTCATGTATATCGGCCAAAGCAGGCGGTCAGGTTTTCAACAAATAAACTTGCTAACAATCCAATCTCTAATATAATTTGCTATCTTACTTTTTCACGCATTGCTCGCTCTGCTTCGTAGCTGAATATTTCAGTCCCACTGTCCTCTTTCAGCTCATAGGTAGAGGCCGAGGGCATATTCTTCAAGTGACAAACCTGTGTTGCGATCGAGAGGAGAGAAAACAAGATCACCGCCTGTCAAGCTCATTCCATGACTGGAAATTACATTTATGAAAGTGCACAGTGAGAGCTCACAGTTGTGTTGAAAGAGAGAAATAGAGACAAAGAAAGAGAGAAAAAAAAAGCAGAAAAAGAGAAATTGCTAGAAAGAGAGAGAGTGATAGAGAGAAAATGAAGAGAAAAAAAGCTAGAGATATTGACAAAAATAAAAAATAAAGAAAACAATATAAAAAAGATACACAAACAGTAAGAAAGAGAAAAAGAAAGAAAGAAAAAGAAAAATACTGAGAAATAAAGAAGGCCACCCAGCTCCGCTCTTTCTGGAGGCTCGGCACCACTAGTGCAAAACAGCTAGTGTAACAACTAACGAAAATTAACATGTGAAAAAGAGTGACAGAGAACGTAATGCAAAGGTATAGGTAGAGAAACATAGAGACAAATAAAATGAATGAAGAGCGAAGGAAAACAACATGGATGGAGAAGGAAAGAAAATGAGAGAAAAAAAGAGAAATAGATAAAGAAAGAGAAGAAGGATAAAAAAATATAGAAAGTGAAAAAAATATAGTGAGAAATAAATAAAAAGAAACATAGAAAACAGACAAAAATTGGCAGATCCCACATACAGTGGCAACCCATGATATGCGAAGCATGAATGAGAAATGTTGATATGTCACTTTAAAATCAGCACAATGTTACGGCGTGGAGGTAAATGATGCCATACATTACTTCCGTGTCATGATTATCATGTTTGGATGTGTCGTTTACCTTTGTCATCTATTCACGTCACGTGATGCCAAACTCGGTACATGTGGAGCTAGCGAAGCGGCCCCGAGCACGCTATGAGCGTGGTATGTTGTCATATTCTTACATGACACGCGTGTCAGGATTACCATGTTTGCACCAGTCATATATTTCGTCGTCCATTGACGTCACGTAACACCAAATTTGGTATATGTGGAGCTAGCAAAACAGCCGCGAGCGCATCATGAAGGGCCCAATATACTCCAAACTTTCGTTGACGCGCGCGCACGCAGGGCACAGCGACGCTACGTTAGCAAAACGCCAAGCGCGACCAGCATCCGTCGGCGCGGCCTGAAAGCAACCAGCACGCGCCGATGCGTTACCCAGACAACACTGCGTCTCACTCTTTTCGTGACTGAGGGACGCCGGACACGCTGAAACACGCATGCATCAAAGCAACACAGCGAGGCGCGCGCCTGCGAGTATATGACAGGACCAGCGCCTGGCATGGCAACGCTAGCGTGATGAAACGAAGGGAAGGCCAGCGAGCACACGCACAGTGTCCCTTTGAAATGTGTTGGCACCTTGACTGTGGCATGTAGTCACATTCTCACATGACACGCACCTCATGATTATCATGTTTGCACTAGTCACATACCTTCATCATCCATTGACGTCACCTAATACCAAATTTGGCATATGTGAAGCTAGCGAAACAGCCGCAAGTACATCATCAGTGTGGCATGAAGTCATGTTCTTACATGACACGCATCTCATGTTTATCATGTTTGCACCAGTATCATACTTTCGATATCCATTCACGTCCCATAATACCAAATTTGGTATAAGTGAAAAAAATGAAACGGCCGCCAGCGCATCATGAGTGTGGCATGTAGCCATGTTGTTACATGACACGCATCTCATGATTATCATCTTTTCACCACTCGCATACCTTCGTCATCCATTCACGCACTGCAATACCAAATTTGGTATACGTGACGCTAGCGAAATGACCGTGAGCGAATCATGAGCGTGGCATGTCGTCATGTTGTTACATGACACACATTTAATGATTTTCATGTTAGAGTCTGTCGCTTGTGTTCGCCATACAATCATGCCACACCATACCAGTTTTGCAACATGTCATGTGAACGAAACCACTGCAAGAGCTGTAGAGCCATAAAATGTAAATCATGACATACATCTCACGATTCACATGTTATGACTAGCCAAATATGTTCTTCATACAGTCATGTTATGCCATACCAAGTTTGGTGTCGATACCATTATCGAAATAGCGATAGATAGATAGATAGATAGATAGATAGATAGATAGACAGATAGATAGATGGATAGATAGATAGAGATAGATAGATAGATACACTCAAAGTCGCCAAAGTTTGCCAAGAAATGCTCGCATTTAAAAAAGGAAATAGATGAATAAAGAAAGAGAATAAGACAAGGAAGGCCATATTCAGTTCTGCTCTTTTTTCAAGCTGGGCACTACTAGTGCAAAGCTGCCACACCGCTTTGTAAACCTTTGTTGCGCTCTTATTATAAACCACTCCCTCAATTTTTCTTTTATAAGCCCAGTCAATTCAATTATCTTTCTGATGCAATCCACCTAATTTTTAAATGTTATGTGCATAAGGTACAGGTTACTATTTCACAATATCATAGTACACAATAACACTCTTCAAGAGAATGGCTGTCGTGTATGTCTACACATACATGTTCTGTGTACTGGTAACACTTTCTTGCATTTCACTTATACTTTTTGAATTTTGTGAATAACGAAACACGTTAGAAATTTTAGAATACCGCATTTTTTTTTATCATTGTGGCAGAGCCAAAGTTTGCAGCTCAAGCTCACTTATGCCTACAACACATAAGAAAGCATCTGGAGTGAAGTCTTGCCATCTTGACGTACCTTGTCATACCCTACCCAAAGTTCCTTTTCACAAACTTTCCCACGGCCTTGGTTTTTGACACCATGAAAGTTGAGCACAGCAAGTGTGAATGACAGACACACGCTGGTCATATTTCTTGACCGCAGCTCAAGATATTTCTGAAAGGAAACCAGGGAAGTATTAAGAACAAAAACACATCTTCTTGTGGTGATAAATAATGATCAAATAATCAGCGCACAACATGTCATTGCCTTCTCACTAATACTGTCCTTTGAATTCATTGAAACATACACAATGTATACCGAGAAATCCGGATTAACACCACTCTCCTATCATCACGCATGCAAAAAGTTCTTTTTCCCACTTCCTGTTAGTGACAACTGTTTCAGATGTGCATGCTATATGAGATTCATTTTAACAGACATAGTGAGCTTCCCATGCGTTAAACCAACTCGATAGAAACCTACAGCTGCCACTAGACATATACCTCCAAGCTCTTGTAGTTATAACAACAACAAAATGAAACATTTCCTTGAAATACCATTTCCATCTCTTCATTTGTTTCTAGAGGCCTGTTGGGAAATCTAGGCGTACAAGTGCTGCTTGGTGGCCTTGGATCCTGCTTTCTGAGAATCAAGAACTGGCATTTTCTGAAAAAAAAAAAAAAAGAATGGCACAAAAAGAAGTAAAAATGAATTCAAGTGAAATATTTGAGTGATAGCACTAACAATAGCTCATGGCAATGAGCCAATTCAGTTAACTCTTTTGCCTTTTATGTGCACACTTGGTTTAGAAAGTTTAGTGCTACTAATAAGTAATGTACGACTGGCATGATACACCATACTATTTGAATCAAGATATGCAAACAGCAATCAGCTAAAAAACCACCCTAAATATAATGACCAAACAATCGTGATTAGCTATGCTTTCAGACTCCTGCACTCACTCCAGTGTTGTTACGCACTATCGTAAAAACGTTATCACTAACATTTGGCAAGTTCACTGCCAAGCAAGTAGTTTTCGGTTGTTTCTGCAAAAGATACTGTATTTAGCCACACATATAGACACAGTTTCGTTGTTGCTGTGATAGAAATGTGGATTAGTAAGCTAGGCTTTTCAATGACAAAATTTGCGGAGAAAAAAAAAAAACTGGCTTTCAGGACCCTTTCAGTTATCAGACATTCACATTTACATTAACGCAAGCATTGCTCCTCGTCAAACAATAACACGAAAATAGTGCTGAATAGTAGTTCTTGCATTTGTAAAGGAAGATTATATGCGATGCGGGAAGTTTCAGAACTCACCCTGTCAAAGCATATGCCAGAGCCTGGGAGTCACGGATTTTTACAAATTCAAGTATTATAATCACCAGTGGCTGTCTCTTGAATTTCATTGAGCGGTTCCAAAACTCCTGCAGACAAAGTAAATCTTTGAAGCTCTAACATTGCCTTGAAATGATTGATTCATTAAAAGTTTCAAGGAGTATATTTTCAAGGAAGACCTGCACAATGTTTTTGGTTTAACTAAAAAAACTCAATGAGGAACGCAAATAAGGCAACACAGAAAAACACACGAGACAGTGTCTACGTGTCGCAAGTAAAAAGTGAATCACCTGAAGTTATCATTTAAAAAAGCACTTTTTTCATATTGCATATATGGATAATTTTTTATGCAGATTTGAGATCAGAATTTGAGCAACTTATTGTTGCTGATCTGCAAAATGACTCGGATATGGATGTAGATTCTGAAATACAGATTTTGTGCCACGGTATGTTTAAACACAAGATGAATGCATGAGCTGCCTCACGGATAGATGTGCCTGAGACTAGTCCCGCTTTTGTGGCCTACCCGAACAAAATGCTATTACTTGTGAAAGGCTACTAAATAATGTTAGTACCACTTAATGTCACAAACATTTTATTCCTTCCAAAGGCGCGAGCTGCAAGCAAAAAATCCACAAGCCGCATGCAGCCCGCGAGCCGCTTGTATGAGAGACTGCCTTAGACAAATGTATAAGGGACAGTGTTTTTTTTTTTTGAAATGCGGTAAGTTTCCAAAATATACAGCCTACCCCTGTTCTTGAATGCTGTGCACATAGATGTGATAATCAGATCTGACGCATAGCAGCCCCCATTAAACTCGCTGCTCTATAAATTCAGGGTTTGACATGATTCATGTTAAAGCATAATGTAATGTTAAAAGGACACTAAAGTCGACGTTGATAGTTGAAATAACGGTTCAGGAAACCCGTAGTGTTACTTTTGTATCAAGGAAGTGCTTATTTTGAAACAAAATCACATTTTAGTGGTTCCCATTGCGTTAGGGCACTTCAAATTTCTCGCCTCAACAGAACATTTAACGTCACTGTTGCCGTGCAAAACATTGCCCGGCTTTACTGCACAGCTGCCGACACTAGTAGCTGCAGAGGGAAGAGGGAGCCACAGCAGCAACAACAGTCAGTGAACAATGTTTAGCCATGGCCTTCATGATTGCATATGTGCTTAGTTCAACTGGGCCCTGCTAGATGGCACGACCAGTCCAGTTTACCCGGCAAAAATTGAATTTTTGAACCACTCACACTATTCCACATAGTAACATCCGGCTGTTTTTTTTCCGTAAATCAAACAGAAATGAACAAGCAGTATTTTATTACACCACTTGATGCCTGAAAGTTTCTTTATTCGGTGCAGCTAATTCAATTACTAGTGGTTAATTGTAGGCAGTTCCTCTGATGTAATTGGAATCATTTTGCAAATGTCTTATCGTAGCACATGTGTTCTCATGCATTTACCTTAATTTATCGATAAGTGGGGAACTGTTCTTGATAATGTTGTTGTTTTTGACTTTGTCATACATTAAGCTTTCACTCTGACATAAATTGTTATTTGACTTTAGTGTCCCTTTAGTATGAGGTCTGGCATACAGGAGAAAGCAAGCAGTCAATGCCATAAGGCGTAGTCAAGCCAAAACTGATTTTTCGGTTCTTAGTCATAACAGCAGAAAAAAAATTAAATACACACCGCTGCAAATGGCTCGACATTTATGGCATCTTGATGGGTTGCCGAAAATGCAATGCCATCAAGGTTGTTCGTTGTGAGGAACTCTTCAGTTTTGGTAAAGAAGACAGTCACGACACGTCGAACCTTGGACGTCATAATTCCACGCGTGTCTACTTCAGTTGCAATAAAAGGAACACTTCCCTTTCGCAGCTTTTGTAGTTTTCCAATGTCATCTGAAAAAAAGTAATAAAATACGTGGAACACTCACACTATCAATGTCAACTTCAGAAGGTAGTGTCACATCAAGAAATGGTGCTCATTTATGATTTTATGTATTGTCAGTAAAAACTAACACATGATAAATGAAGGTAGAAAGAGTGACATAAAAAAAAAACACAAAAAGTGCTATAGCTACAAAGCTCCTGAGAGAATATATCCACACGAGACTTTAATACAATCAATGTTTCATATCAATGAGCAGAGCACAGAGAGCAAGAAAGAGCACACCAAAACAATTGTTTTAGGCAACATATGCAGGAACAAAAGGAATTGAGCGTTCTATTTATAATACCCCCTTGAAACTTATGAGAAGGTCAGGTTGATTACCTAAATAAAGTAGCCGATACATATGCCATGGCGAATGATAGAAGTTCATAAATTACATTTTATGACTCTAAGTGAAGGAAAGAAGGGTAAATTTAAGGGCTTGTTTTCTTTGTTAGATACAACATTGATTCGAGATAACAGCCAAAGAAGCCAAGGAGAGAATAGGGGATGTTATTCGAAGTGAAAATTGTAATGTGAAGAAAAAGAAATGTGGACGGAAAGATAACTTGCCGTGGGCAGGGACCATACCTGCGACCTTCCTAAAACAGCAGCTACACCCCCCCCCCCCCCTTGTCCACTTTATGGGGTATGTGCATTTAATGGTAGCGTCAGTCAGTGCCACCTGTTGCTATTGCGGCAAGTGTGGGACACTCATTTTTTGCCTGTTGGCATCACGTAGCATGTGATCTTATTACAAGCGGGCAGCTGACCAATAATCCTTCGCATCCCACCTGAAGGCACTATGTCTGCCAGAACGAGATCCTCGTTACGACTGAAGAAAAGAAGAGTAAATTTAGGGGCCGTGGTAGCTAGGCAGAGCTTCTGATGCATTTAGTAGAGCATTGGACGAGTTATTCGAAGATCGCAGTTTGATTCCTGCCCATGGCAAGTTATCTTTTTGTCCACTTTCTTTCTTTACAATTACACTACAAATACTTCTAATAAAATCCCCTATACTTTGTTGACATTTATATAACTCTAGATTGATCGACATTTTACATTACATTATGTTCTTGTGTGCACACAATTTAATAGAACTCATTGTATGCACTTGCATAGTAGCCGTCACACAACATAAACCATACTGAAATACTAACACACAAAAGCCAGCTTTTCTGGGTCAATGAGTCACCTATTCTTCTAAAGTTAATATCTTTCATTATGCAAAAAGGCTATCAGTCATCTTGGAAAAAAAATAGGAGGGCATCGCAAGAGCAAGACATAGCTCCAAACAAAGCAGCAAAGATGTGGAAAAAGATAAAAGTAAACCACATTTTAAGAAGAAGGTTGCTATAATCTGTGTGTAACCAATATTTGAAGAAGGAATGCTAACCCCCATATCCAGAAATGCTGCTTGACTTGAACTTGACTTTTCATCGACTTGAATGCAGCACAAACGCGTTTCGAACGCGTTGTCTTTAGGCAGTGCCAAGGTCGCACAAATGCACAGACGCATTTCAAACGCACTGCATTGAAGGCGGTTTCGAATCAAGTTCAAGTGAAGGAGCCTTCATAAATACGGGGGTAAGTGACAAATTACAGCCAATATTTCGGGACTCTGCACATTGCATTGGCAGGATAATAAAGCAGGTCTGCATGGTGTATCTCGATGCAAGCACTTACCATTTTTAAGGTCAAACTTCTCGATTTCTATATCATAGGTGATTGCCGAATAGACAAGCCCAGTACAAAGGCCAAGTTGCAAGAGATTCCCGATGTTAGCTGATGCTGTTGTACAAAGTAGAGCACCTGCACAGAGAAATAGGACAAAGCATAAAATGTGGGGCATGCAAATGCTTTTCCTCATTCCACTAAGTCACAACAAGGGCCACACCAACGATCCCACCAGTTTCAGACCCACTCCCGATGTGGCAGGCTCCTAGGCCCTTGATTCACGGGAGGGGTACGTCACAATTCATGTTTTGTGAATACTGTCAAAAGTTTTGAAGCCGCTACTGGTGCACCAGCTATACAACTAGTAAGCACTGGAATAACATCTGTGCATGCCATTGCTTACAAAAACAAACTCACTGCCATAAACTGCTTCTTATTTCCCCGAGATTTGCAGGGTCAAGAATGCTACAGAAAGACTATGACAGGGTCTAGTGACATACCATTCCACTCATAAACTGTTTTTATAAACTTTTGGAAAAGAATAACTCCATGCAGCCCCAAGAGTTGGCTTCACAATGTCCCAAACATCATCGCACGACCTGTTTTCTGCCATTATTACCATTTTCTTTTTCAAACCTCGTAAAGCTGATTTAAGGTATTGCAAATCACATGACCTGCTGATTACCATTTATTCTTATTGATCTCACCTAGAGTTCAGCTACATGCAATTTTGCAGTAATCCATACAAGTGACCTGCCACAATTTTCTGTTCTATCATTTGACATATGGTCGGAAGAGAGTTTTGCAAGTCTCATTGTAATCCTTCAAATGTATGCCCCGGCGAGATAGTAACAGCAGGAGATTTAGATTAGATGTCATAATTTTTAACAATATGTGCTGCAGATTAGAGTTATTTGAAAATTTTCTCCTCCCATTACTATTCCCTCACACCGGATTATAAAATACCACTTGAGGTATGCTAAAGACCACATCTTCAAAAGGTCCATCTAAAATGAAATGCTACAAATTTAAGAAATGGTGGGTAATAACAGGCCAGTATCAAAACACAATGGACTGTAACTACTTCCTTTAACTATGGTGGCCGTATTAAAAATTCTGAGAATGAGAGCCTAGCACTTACGGGTAGATGATGCAGAAGTTGTGGGTTCAGATTCAGTTGTGTCTTGTTTAGCTGCCAGAAATAGAGCGTAAAACATTATCACACCACGAATTTCGAACAAGGAGTTGGTGTGCCAGCAAAGAGCAATTATGCTAGCCAATACCGTGCCTGAAAATTAACTAGCAAACACAGTTATAAACCTTTGATTAGGAACACCATCATAATGTCCTGAATATCATCACACAACCAGTTTTCAGCTACCACTGACTGCTTTCTTTTTAATGTCTCTCACAAATTTATAGATCACCACTTAATGTTAAACAAGGTTACACCCCACATGAGCTGCTGATTACCACTTCTTCCTGTCCATCTCATCTAGAGTTCAGCTACATGCATGTTTACTGTAAGCCATACTAGTGCCATGCTATTATTATCTGTTATGACAAATAAACATGGTATGAAGGCATTGTTTTCCAAGTCTCATTGTAATCCTCCAAGGTTCGCCCCTGCATGGTAGTAGTAGCCGAAGGTCCTGATTAGATGCCATCATTTATAAAAATATGCCTTTACACATACTGCAGAGTAGATTAATTTATTGAGAATTTTCTTTCACATTACTATTTGTCCTAGTATGCAAATGCCCCCATCTCCAAAAGGTCAATTCAAAATTACAAACTACAGATTTAATGATGCGTTAGTATCAACACAATGGACTGCAACTACTTCCACTACAGCAGCAGTATTAAACATTCCGGGGATGGCAGTGCTTTACTTACGAGTAGATGTCGCTGCAGTTGTGAGTTCAGTTTCAGTTGTGTCATGTTTAGCTGCCAAAAAATAGAGCATAGAACATTATCATACCATGAATTTCAAACAAGAAAGGAGTTTGTATCCCAGCATCCACATAACAACCAAACATACTAGCAAAGTGTGATTATGTTAATGAAAGCCTTGTCTGAAAATCAAAGTTAAATGTTGGCATGTTCAAGCTTTGCAGGGTTGAGAATGCTACAGGAGCACTAGGATAGGCTATTATAGTAACATATCTTTACACTATTATGATGTAGCAGTAAGAGAATTTGTTTGACAATGTTCTAAATATGATCACGTGATCTATTTTCTGCCCCCATTGACTGTTTCCTGCATTTTTCCTGTAATCCATACTAGTACCACATTATAATTTCCTGTTCCATCACTTGACACGTGGTCTGAAGGTATAGTTTCGTAAATCTCATTCTAATCCTTGAAGTTTTGACCCAGCAGTGTAGTAGCAGCAGAAGGTATATACAAGGCACAATCATTTTTAGCAATATGCCTGTATATGCACTGCAGAGTACAGTTATTCAAAAAATTTTTTTTCCCATAACTACTTGTCCGACATTATAAAATACTACTACTACTAAATCCCACATCTCTAAAAGGCCCACTCAAAGTTAAATGCTACATATTTAAAGAATGATGAGCTGGTATCAATACAACAGACCAGTATCAAAACACAATGAACTGGAATAACTTATTTCCAATACAAAGGCAGTATTAAACATTCTGACGAAACCAGTTTTGTACTTACGGGTAGATGTTTCTGCAGTTGTGGGTTCAGTTTCAATTTCAGTTGTGACATGCTCTTCTGCCAGAAACAGAGCAGAAAACATAATTATATCACGAATTTCAAACAATAAGACGTTTGTATTCCTGCACCTACATATGCAGACAAAGTTTGTCAGCAAAGTGTGATTATGCTAGCAAATGCCGTGTCTGAAAATCTAAGTTGAATGTTGGCATATTCCAAGGTTTCTGGAAAAAAACCACCGGATGGCAAGAGCTGTCAGAAAACAGTGGTGATCGCTCCCAGAACCATGGCATTAACACCTCAAGGTAGATCTTCATGACTATCTGATCGGTTTGCCATAAACTCTGAAGAATTCTCCAAATTTTGTTTTTTGTAACTATTGTAGAAATGTGAGAGGAAAATTTCTTTAAGGTGAGTAGTTGGTGCAGTGTCTACCTTTGTAGACAGGAGGCTGCAAAGCGTAGGTTCTGCTATCACTGCCGAGTTACCTTACACTAAAAATTTATCTGTAATATGGCTAACTAGGCATTTTCGAAAATGTGCCTAGACGTAACTTGCTTTTTCATGCATGCCCCAAGTGATAAAGACAAACATGCCATAATGTTCAAGTGGCCCATTAAAATGAATGTTCGGACATAAAAAAGAGTTCGAATACTAAATGCGCCCAAGCTGAGAGATCGCGAAGCAAAGGTCCCATGAATGGTAAGAATGATGGACACATTGAAGCATAGCTACTAGAAAGCAAAATATCCATGAAGAATAATGATGGTGAATAAGCAAAAGCTGAGCACTTAGCATAGCAAAGGACCCATGGACAGTGTCAGACCATAAAAGCATTGAAGCGGAGCCACCAGCTTTCAATGACCCTATAAATGATGGCGAATAAAGTGCAGCACACTTTTAGTGTCCACATATATGGTCACCGTTGTTTTATTCTATAATAAAGGTAAACTCTGGGCTTGTGCAAATAGTGAATTTTAGGTTCAAAGTGAAGAGTGATTTTGGTCGAATAATTTTGAATTGAATTCAAATATTGTATATCACATATAAAGAAAAAGGGGCATATTTGTCATGACCAAGCTAACCTGAGCAATTAAAAAAAAATTAAAACAAGGCCTGTACAATTACTATTTTTTGTATCAAAGGAAGTGGAAGCAACCTTGAATAGTAGCAGAATTCGACTTTCGGCAAAATGCAAGTGATAGCCTGTAAAATATGTTGTGTTTTAAAGTTTGCTATACTAAGAGCATATAAGCTGGCATAATGAGCTCTTAAATTAAAGAAAAGGAATCGATGTGAGGGTAATATCTTCATTTACACTTCAAGTGTAGTTTAAAAGCAGTGCGGATTGCTCTTGGACATGTGGTTTCACGACTCAGCATCATTTCACTGCAGTGAAACCACTTTTACAAAGAATTACACGCAAATAGATATACACATAAATAGGTGCTTTGCCGGCTTAGCACCCCTGAACTGCAGTGAAACCACCTCCACAAGGTGTTATGTATATGCGAACTAATATGCACTTATTCGTTCACCTCGAATTATTCAGAATTTTCAATAATTTCAATTCGATTCAAAGCGAATTTGAACACTGCATTATTCATTCAAAAATTCACACAAGCCTAATAAATTCTCAAATTCTCATTATTTTTACATTATTTCCTCTTTTGCGTGTACCATTATTGCATCCCCGCACACTATAAAGTAACACCTGACGCCATACACTGCTGGCTCAAGCAAATTCATACTGTATACATTCTATCACTGTTTATTATATGGATATAACCACGTAAATGGCAAAAGTGACCCGAAGCAAACGTAAACTGTTTTAACAGTTTAAACAGATGGTAGTTTGTTTTCAGTGAATGTTTCGCAAATATTCGGCAAATAATGCAAGTTATGTCCGCAAGAAGCAATTCTGGAGATTAAAACAATTGCCTATGAAATGTCAGCGAAACAGTACTACAAAAAGAGCCTTTAATAATAAACAAAATACCAACCACTTGTTGCCGTCATTGTCGTCATACCAGATTTAGAAGAGGTGGTTTTGATTTCACGAGTTGTCACTGTCAAAAATATAATGTGGAGAAGAACACTTCATTTATTTACATCACAAAAAAATTAAGTGATGTTCCAAGGACAATAGTCAAACCTTCATTTACTTTAAATATATATGTCATAACCACATAGGAAATATTGATTAGCATCATTCTTCTGGTAGTCTATCGAAGCAAGCATGTAAAATGCGAAGTAGGTATGTAAACACAAGTCTGAAAACAGGTCGTATGTACATTAAATGAGATTTTATTGAAAGTTGTGTGGCATATCAGAAGTTGTATGGCATATCAGAACCCTGTATCATCATTTGAAGTGCCTCTAGTACTCACTGAACTGTGCATCCTCAGTTTTATAAAAAAACTGTATGTACAATCAAACCTCATTATAACAAAGTTGCATCTTACATAAAAATAAGTTTGTTACATCCAAAAATCATTATTATGGTTTATTCCTAACACTATGTCTATTGCAACTCTATTTCTAATTTACTTTGTTATAGCCAATATATCATTATATCTGGGTTCGTTATGTTGAGGTTTAAGTGTAATTACTTGAAAGTAATCTCAGGAATGTGCATAATTATATTGACTTCTATAAATAATTTAACGATGTCAAATGACTTTTCAAAGATACTTATTCACTGAGAGTCTTATGCTTATCACTATGACTAAGGGTTTCTTCTCCTTTGGAACTTCTTGCAAAAAAATTATTTGATTTCTAGAAGCTCGACAAGTGTTATTGAAAAAAGAAAGACACAAAGCTTGCCAGATGCACATGAAAATAAATAAAAGACATAAAGACATTGCACTCATCGTCCTTTGTTCTCTTATTTGATATCTACAGTATATATTCATGGGAGGGAGGCATGAATATACACTACAGATACCAAGAAAGAGAACACAGGATGATGAGTGCAATGTCTTTCTGTCTTCTGTTTATTTTCATGTACAGTATATCTAGCAAGCTTCATGTTTTTTCAGCGCACCTTTAACAATAAATTGAAATCGCAATCGTGTGTAAAAATGACTTCATGTTATGCAAACAAATATAATGCTTATCCCCGTACTTATTTGTTACATTAATTTCCCCCAACATACAAATCAAATCATTATGCAACAGTTAGGAAAAAGACCTGCATAGGTGCTCAGTACGTCGTCAGAGATCAAGGTAAGCAATGACCAAGACAGCATGAAAGGCACTGCCATGGCGAAACAGTTAATGCGGACTCCCTTCTTTAAGCTTTCAGAGTGAGGCTAGTACTGAATCTTGAATGGGGGAAAGCCAACTATGTGCATTAAAAATTGCAACTGCTAAGATATAACAAAACATTTCAAAATTAAGAGCTCACCATCCCACCAAGGCGTCAGCTTTGAGGAACCACCTAAGAAAGAATACAACGTATTTTATTGGGATCTAAAACAAGCCTAATCACACACAACAAAATTGTACATTTTTCAGTTAGCAGTACAATATTATTTCTTCCCACAATAACAAAGCTGCTGCTTTTTGGTGTCACCAGGGCATTCCGATCACTTGTTTCTTGTTCGTGCATTGGTTTCTACCAATCGTAAATATGGTTGAATCGAATGAGAAAGAAGAGAATGATGAAACGATGAAACAGCTGTTTAAAGCACCTTTCACTAAAACATCAAACGAAAAACAACATTCTAACAAGAAACTCATTAGCTCTCTTAAAATCTGTGCAAAGCACCTCCTTGAGTACAATCTCATCTATATGTGTGTAGAATGTGCAAGCAGCTAGTTCTGCTTTTGGGGGTGATACCCAAGTAAAAAACACCAAGGACGTAATGGGATTCGAACTTGGGTCACCTGTGTTCCAGCCCAGTATTCTACCACAGAGCCATACCGGTGCTTGAAGCTGTTGCAAACTGGCCTTAAGAAGGCTTGATGTTGAGAAAGGAATCACGGTAATATGAGTAATAAAGCATTTTAGAGCAGCAATGGAACCACAAGGCGTCACACATTGCGAATCCTGTAACGAGTGGGTTGTCGAATGGTTAAACCAATTACGAAAGGTTCAGGTGTAACTCTTCATCGGCTTCAGCCACAGTATAAAAAAATTTCACAAAATTTCTTGCACGTGTATAGCGGGTACCATGCTTTTCCGAAGAATGACAAAGGATAATATACTGAATGTGTCGCTACTACACAAAAATTATGATCAATGGGATAGTGGGTACTTCATTAGTGTACTTGTAGCAGTTACCCCAAAAAGTTAAAAAAAAAAAGACTTTCAAAGGTCACTCTTCCAGTTTTCGCTGTGACTGTGCTGCATGTTCCATGCAGGCCTGATGGGCTTTTCATGTGACTGTATCAGAACAGCGAGAAAGCATGCATTGTTGTTGTGAAAGAGTCAGGTATGTGCTATCAGCCCAAACATGTCATTCTTTGGCACTAAAATGATGTAAATGTCCTGAGGCTGACTGCCAATTCAAAGGACAACTTCGGTACTCATGCAAAGCACGTCTGCATGTTTGTCAGGCCGTGCATCTTCTTGGGCCAAAACCACTGCAGTGCCACAGTGCAAGGTTGGATGCTTGTGTGCTCTACAGAGACGTGGACGGCCTTGTACATCACAGTTAAAGAAAGACCTTTTAAGTGAATTTGTGAAAGCAGTAATTGTGAGTATAACTAGGTTCTTGTTGATGTCGGAGTGAGCACTGATGTATTATCACTAGATGATTAACAGTAGAAGAAACAGTTGCCTGGTGATCCTTTCATTAGTTCACAGCATAGCATATAAGCTCGAAAAGGTAGCTAGTAAATATAATGTACCCGATGTACTCTTCAAACCAAGAAAAATTGATGAGCATAGGTAACAAACAAACACTAGGAAAAAATAAAAATAAAAACAGAACTTATGAGGTGCACTGTTCAACATGCACAAAAGCTCAGTGAGTGGAAAGAAAGCATTCGGGCAAATATTATCATGTGTTAACACAAGGCTTAGAAACACTGAAAACTATCATAAGCTTTCAACCAATCTTAAAATTTTTCAAT